CACTAGTCGTGGATAGTGTGGAGATAGTGCTGGCGGCGCTAGAGCCCACCTCACCAGCCCCGCCGATATTTGCGAACGGCAGCAAGGAGTTGCGGATCTCAGCTAACGCCTTCTGGTGATAACCGGAGCCGCGAGTGCTCAGTTTGCTGACCGCAGGTGGATTCATAGTGGCCCATGCTAGGCCCTCTGGGACCTAGCTTTAATCCGGCTGTGACATATATACCAAGGCGTCTACAACAAGAAGGAAAATATTCCACGGTAAAGTTAACTCTCAACTGAAGCTATCAACTGAAGACGCGTTTCTCGAAGGAATTTGAAGTACGGACGTTTCTATTACGAGTCATCGGCTACATTCTTCGATTATCGACTCGAAAAGAAATCGACCAATCGTAGCGCCCGAAGAGACCGCGCTTGATGACAAAATTTCGACAAATAATGCGACGTCGACCACGTCGTTCGACACATCATCAGTGTCCTAATTGCATGCATCTTCGACTTCGTCACAACTAGCGATCGCTTTGGTTGCTTTACAGTTTCAACGTACGGTAGCTCTTTGACACCTTCTTGATAAGCTCCTCCCTCTTGCTTCCAGATTACTTATTAGTTTTACAAAATTTTCTACAAGAGGCACATGCAGCGCTCTACATATACGTGTGAAGTGACGCGTTGGAGAATGTTCGGTACTCTTACACAAAACATTGCAACAGGTAAACGTGTATAATAAGTAGTCGTCCGTATAAGATCTCTCTATTTTTATTGTATTGCGTCTAGTCAGTCTGTTTTCAGTTCCATTACTGTCACCTATGTGACTAGTGTGTCCCTGCTGATACAATTTATGTCTGATACTGGCAACGCTGTCGGATACATGAATACGCGTGTGCGACGAGCGAACATCATCCAGATTCGCTCGTTTATAGAAGAACCATGCTCGTGGCACAGGATCTGTTCTTGATGGCTGTATGTATTCTCGACTACTTGGTGCATCCCTTCGCTGTCTCTCCGTCAAGTGTGTTTCCATCAAGTATCATCAAACTACTAATCTACTTCCTTTCGCGTGCACAGACCAACCCTGAAGCCTCTCACACACGAAACTACACCATTCTGGAGCTCTCTGTTAGGGGGAGAAAGAGAGAGAGAGAGAGAGAGAGAGAGAGAGAGAGAGAAAGAGAGAGAGAGAGAGAGAGACATGGTCGCAAGTCCTAGGGTACAGCTTCATGCGTGCAAGCACTTGAACGCCAGTCTGTGCAGCTCGACGCTTTACAACAAGACAGCCGAGCAGACCTACGGACAGAAGTATGTGACACGTGTTGAAACGCACAGCTCAACGTCATCAAACGGTACTTACAAAGATCACTGCTACAATTCAGCCTGCCATAAACCGGCCGGTGTGCCACAGCGATGACAGTGCAGATCACGGCGAAGAACGTGAGAGCGCTCTCAGCAAGCACTCGCTTCTCAGCCCGGCGCTCCAACGTTCCCCGCTGATGCAGCCTCACGTCATCATGGGCTACAAAGTTAACGGCGGTACATACAAGCGAGCAGATGACAGCGCGATGACGGGGCTATGACAGACCATCCGCGGCACGAGTCCAGTGACCGAGCAAGGTGCTTCACAACGTCGTCGCACGGCGAAGAACGGGTTCACACACGGACGTCTGCTTCGTCTGCCCGCCGATAGGCACAAGAAGACAGCGGTCCGTGTGACACCACATCTCTTCCCGGGTTCTCCCCGTGCGTCGACGCGTGCGTTTCCTCGCATGAGCCTCTGTAACGGACTCGAGCGTGAAAGAGAGAGAGAGAGAGAGAGAGAAAGAAAGAGAGAGAGAGAGAGAAAAAGAGAGAGAGCTAACCTATATGTCTGGCTCCATTTGGGCCCGATGCACGACGGCGACGGAATCTGCTGTCGAGCGTGCGTGCCTGCGTACGTGCGTGCGTGCGCGCGTTCGTCAGACCGCCAAGGTGTTCTCCTGACGGGCGAGAACAGCGATGGCGATGGCGATGACGACGACGACAACGACGACGATGAGGAGGTCGAAGTGCGGGAGCAAATGCCCGTCGTGCGAGTCCACAGGACGGGCAGGCTCTCCCAGCACGAGGATGTTGAACACGCGAGTAGTAGTAGTAGTAGTAGTAGTAGTAGTAGCAGCAGCAGCAGCAGCAGCAGCAGAAGCAGCAGCAGCAGCGGTGACGACGACAGCGGTGGCGGCGGCGGTGGTGGTGGTGGCGGCGGCGGCGGCAGCGGCGGCGACGGCAGCGATGGCAGCGACAACAGCAGCAGGAGCTGCCGTCCGCAGCATATTCTGTCGCATTCACGTAGGCGCCGCGCGGTCCATGTGACGAGGCTGTGCGAGATAGAGCCGCGACCAATGAAACCGTCACTGGTACCAGTCGCAATAAGAATGTCGCCTGATCCTCTGATACGGTACGAAAATGTGGACGAGCGAATAAGTAGGCGCAAGTAGGCAGGTAGGCAGATCAGAGGCAGGCAGATAGACAGGCGGACAGGCAGGCAGGCAAGCAGGCAGACGAGCAGGCAGACAGGCAGGCAGGCGGACACACGCACACGGACACACGCGTACGCGCACACACCAGCGCGTCGTCGCGTGCGTACGTACGACGGTCGCGCGCGCACCGTCGTCGGCCGACGGTAGGACTGGCTTTCCGCGACGGTGCGCGGTTCTAGCCGCGATTCACACGCGCGACAACAAAGGCAGACACGGCCGTAAATTATTAGAGTAACTGGCAGCCATTTTGAAGTGCCACATTCCTATACGGCCGCCGCCGCAGCAGCAGCAGCAGCAGCAGCGACTTGACACTCTTTTCGCTCGTATAATAATTTACGATGTGCACGCCGCCCGCGCGATACCACCGTGACGACGACGCCACGGCGCACAGTGAGCGCTCCCTTTTCCCCTCGGTACGTCCCTATTGCATTTCCCTCGCTAATTAATGCATGTGCGAGGGCTCTCGCGCGCAGGCAGTCGCATCCCGCTCCTATGTGTGTGTGTGTGTTAGGTTTGTATGGTAGGTGTTGATTATGTGTGTGTATGTGCGCGCACTCTCTCTGTGTCTCTCTCGACGTGTGGATCGCCATCGAGGAGCTTTTTCGCACGGTGTCGCAGCGATTGTCATTCCTGCTGTCTGCTTGCGGAATCCTCAGCGAGATTCCGAAAGCTGCGTTTGCTCTTACAAGTCGGAGACCTGCCAAAGACGCAAATTAGTTTGTCGGATAGATATTGCTTTATGGTAATCTTTAGAGCAAACTGACGTCTCCGATTTGCAAAAACCGTACGGCAAAACCTCTGCGCGCGAGGATATGCCTCCGTTGAACGGCGAATCAGGAGCACCTGCGCTTTTCAAGTAGCACGAGTCAATGACTGCGCCATTAACCTCACGCAGGATTCATACGGTATCCGATGCGTAACGATCTGACATCCGATAGAGAAATTCATTTTCTGCGATTTTTCGCTAACGCACGACACGTTTGTCTTTCCGGTAGAACAATTCTCCTTTCGCGTCGAAGGAAGTTGTGCAGTCGTGGACAGAAGTTTATTGTCGGCAACTTTTTTGCGTGAGTTTCAGAACGTTTCTCTCTAGCCGAAGTATTCCAATGGGAGAATTTTCCAATAGGATAAGGCAAACGCGTTCTGAAAGTCAAAAGTGTAACTTGATGTAGTAATAATCTCAAAAACAAACTGCACGAATTTCTTTTCCGATATAGACTCTTGAGAAGCGAACATTTCCAAGTCCCGAATTTCAAGTTAAAACAATTTTACTCATTTCACAAATTCATGCTGAAAGAGGAGATTCATGATTCGCTTGTAAATGTCGAAGATTGAGGATTGCTAACTGAAAATTGGCACTTGGCCAATCGGGACAAAGCAAGCCAACATCGAAGTTGATTCGTCCAATTTAAATTTTTAATCAAGTTCACAATCTGCAATGCCTAGTCGATATGAATTTCACATCGCATTTCTAATCTGTGTGCTATGCGATCGGCGGTCATCTCTGGTTTCAGTGGTTTCAGTCTTTCAGTCTTGGTCTGTTCTTTTTAGCTGCACTGCGGAACTAGTGCAATAAGTTAGAATGAGACAACTATATTTTTTTTCACTTTAACTTATTGCACCAGTTCAGTAGTGCAGCTAAAAAGAACAGACCATCTGATTCAGTCTTCTAACCTCTTGTTTAAATGATTGTTTCGAACGTCTTATCCGTTGTTTTCCCAACAAAATAACAAAACTCATAACATTGTTAACCTAAAAATCGCGTAGAAAATAATATATGTCAATAGAAGATTATTTGTAGCTATTTATTTCTGATCTTTTCTAAAACTTTGAGCGAAATTGTATAGAAAATTTATCGCGAATAACGTCGTTTCGAATGCTCATCGAAAATTTGCAGGTGTAACATGTGAAAAACAATAACTATGGCGTATTCCGTGAATATCTCTATAGAAGCGCCGATCGAGAACCAAATACAAGAAATCTCTTACGATGGACAAGAGATATATCAAGCGTAAGTAATGTACTTAATTATAATGTAATATAATAATCTATGCATTCGATTGATACTATTTTTATCGGACTTTAAATATACATAGTTGATTTGATAATTATAAGTGATTATGTTATGAAGATTATGAGAATCTTTATAGCAGCATGTAGAAAATATATTTTTCAATAATTTTCAATAAAAATTCCAAAATTTAATTCCAAGCTTATAGCCAAACTATTAAATATATTTTACCATATTTGTTGTAGGCCTCTTACATTGTCAGAGAACTTGGCAAAGATTGCTCAAAAGATTGACTTTAGCAAAACAAACGGTGATGAAATAAGCAAGGAACAATTGGAGGGTGGTGAAAAGAGTGAAGAGGATCCAAAAGATTCAGCCTCGTTCCAATCCTCCTTGTGGCCATGGGATAGCATTAGGAATAAATTAAGGTTTGTCATATTTTTCTATGAAGATAATCGACAGTATATGATATACATAGTAGTGTATTATTGCATATACTATTATAAACATAGCAGCAAACGTCTCAGTAATTTGAGAAATATTGTATTTAATTTCTCTTGTAGGAGTGCATTGACAGAAGTTTGTGTATTAGCTGATGTTCTCGCGATAGCAAAAGAAAAAAATTATATGGTGCTAGATCCAGTACCTCAAGATCCAGTTGAAGTAAAGCCTATGATGCAAGTGTATGCTAGGAAGAAGGCACTCACAGGGGCTGCAAATCTTATTATTCATGGTGCCCAAAGACTACAGAATAGTCAAGCTGAATTAACCAAAAATAGATCCACTCCTGACTTTCATATTGAGTTATTAAGGTTACGGCAAAATTGGCGCCTGAAGAAAGTGGCAAATTCTATTATTGGTGATCTCAGTTATCGAACTGGTTTGTATTTCACAGTCTGTATATTTTTCTTTTCTTTTTGGAATATTGTTTTTCATTTGTTACCTAATAAGTAGCTTTTGTACTTTTTATTGACTTACAAGCTTGTATTTGTATTTCAGCTGGTTCAAAGTATACACAAACAGGCATGTTTGAAGTTACTAAGGCTGAGGATGAGGAAAGAAGTAATAATAGCCCGCCAGCATCTCCTAATGCTGGTGGCAGTACATCAGGGCAGCCTCATGGTCCCTCAAATTCAAAAGCTTCTGCATTGCGCGTGACTATACCTAGTGAACTTCAAGGTGTAGCTTATATTGAAGTGTTGTGTCAGAAAGGTAATCATACATATACGTAGTATAATTTATATATACTTGATTAAATATACATATATATATTTGCAATGAGTACAAATAAAACAAGTAAACATATATATATATATATTTTTTTTTACAGATCAAGAAGATCTGTGCAGTGCGAATATAAGTCTGCTTAATAGCAGCACCAATAGTTCAAACGCAGACATGCATTGGCAACAGAAATTAGAAGCAGCGCAGAATGTGTTGTTTTGCAAAGAGTTGTTTAGTCAATTAGCGCGGGAAGCTGTACATTTACGCGCGCCTATACCTCATATGGTTGTAGGAAATCAAATAATGGCTACGGTATAGTATTGTTGTCTACTCTGATTAAAATTCTTTCCTACTGTGAAGCAACTTATTCTTTTTTATATATGTAATATAATTTAATTCTGGAATGCCTTAACTTTCTTTTCTTAATTCGCGTAATTTTCTAATACACAAAGATACGTGCTGTAAAATCGATTTTCAAATAATCGGAAAGAGATGCGTTAAATATACTTAGTGAAATATACATAGTAAATCGTTAACTTTATACATTACACCAGGTACTTCCCGGAATTCAATTAATAATCGGCCTGTGCCATAGCACAGGCAACGACAAGAAACACACGGCTCCATCGCCGCACAAAACTGATCACGACCACGTATTGGAGCATTCCTTACATCAATTGCTGCGCGAAGTACATCACAAGAACACACACCATCCATTGCCGCATCCTTCTTCGGGGCCGCTCGGCCCCAGCAAACGTAGATGCTTAGCTGGCCCCACCGCAGCCGATAGATACGAGCTCCTGGAAATGGCGAAAAGTCAAACGTTACTAGAACAGATTATTCAACAGGCGCAGCATTTCTTCATGCGTTTACGTACCGAATATGTACTAGACACGATAGCGAAGGAGGTGAAAGATCCTCTCATCGTTTCGCATTGGAATGCGCTCAATTCGCCGACGCAATCCTGCGTGAAGATCAATATTCTCACGCACGGCTACGACAGTGTGTGCCGAACATCGCTAGTCGTCCATGTCGGAGAGAAGTCGTTGAAATGTATTTGCCGCGATGGTAGGGTTATGCATATGAGCTATGAGCCTCAGGAGCTGAGGGATCTAATTTTCTGTCAGGTCAGTACTTTGTCGAGGCTTTTTCAATTCGACGGTTCCTTCTAAAGTATTTTCGAAATTCTTCATTCGAGAAATCGTCTTCATCCGGTATTTAGCGAAATTCTATCATAATTTTTATACTTTGTAGATTTATCAGCATCAGATTACCGCGGTGCAAGCTTTGGCCAAATGTATGGGCTGGCAGTTCTTAGCGAATAGTTCTCACCTTGGCGTGGGTTCAGTGGAGCCTCTAGGAAATGCCAGCAGTTGTATTTTAGCCTCGCCGATTGGAGACAGGTATTTTATGTAGTAGAAATCGTGTATAAATCTATGAGGTGGGGGGAATATTAAAAAAATTCTGTGTCTGTGTGCTACTCAACAATGAACCGCTTGTACTTGCAGAATGATAGCTGTGCGATGTGAGCCGCAAACCGGCGTGCAAGTCTCCATCGCTCACTCTCCTCGAAAAGATTTCTTCCCGGGCCAACTTGTCCGAGAGAGGAAGTGGGAAAACTTGGGTGGCTCTTTCAAGGAGGTCAGATGGGACAAGATGGAGGGAAAAAATTTTCTTAACAAAATGGAGCTACTTATGGCTTCTTTAACGAGTTCTTAAGTAATGCGAAATTATCGGCAAGGAGCAATTATTTTCAAAATGATATTCGTAATAATCTTGTTTTTAGAATAGTTTAATTTCCCCGTAGGAAATACAAGACGTTTTATGATAATGAAACGTATTTTTTGATTTTATCAAGAATGTTTTCTCCTTTTGAGAAAGGATATGTATACAATCGTAATCAATTCCTCTGCCTCCTTTAACAATTACTTATCAGTTATTCTTAGGCTGCTATTACGAGACTTATGACTGTGATTTGTGATAATTTGCAGTTGTCCTTATACATACTTTAAGAACAAGAACAATGAAGATATCAAAATTTTCTAAAATTGTTAAAAATTGTACTGATAACTCGAAGGCGTATGAAAACGCAAAGCCTAGGCAGTATTTTGATATTATTTTTCATTTTGAGCTCATTCGAAACTAATATATATATATATATATATATATATATCTACAGCTGCAACTTACAATGAACCAATAATAGCAATAATAACCGAATTACCATTATACATCATAATTATACATATTTTGCATTTACGAAAAGAGAGAGCGGGATAACAGTGATTTATATAGCGAGGTTGTAAGAAAGTTGGTTTTATTTGACTGTCAGATGAAATGCAAATGTGAATTGGATAATAAACGATTGCAAGTTGTGTGGTAAGTGGAGATAAATGAATGTTATACAGTAATTGATACAACAATATGAACGTTATATAGCTGTTATAATTAGCTTAGATGTGTAATCGTCGGTGACTTCCTCGTTCTTCTTTTCACTTACAAAAAGTAACGAACAATTCCTTAAATTTTACCGTTTCTTCGTTTAATCAATAGTTAAGGAATTTACTCTTAAGGCGCGAATTTATGCACGAATATACATACCGTATTTAACGAAACTTATTCATTGTAGACGCATACATATATACATACACGCATACATGACTACGACGCGTAATCACGCACACACATACATGCATTTCTGTAGATATTTCTCTTTACGATAGGGAGTATTATACAATTCGACATGCTCTGGATCGAAACGCTATCGTGATTCCGTCATACAACAGTTTCGATGGATTAAGGGACGGACTAGCAGCTTGACCAAAATATCCAGAACTGTTCTGAGAAAACACACACAATTAGATACTCTCCCTCTTGTTCTCGTTCACTCATTCCCTCTCTTCTTTTCTCTTTTTATTTTCACGTAACGAGATACTCTGAAGTACGCTGTGTGGCAAATTCAATCGTCTGCGCCATTTCATACTACTACATGCTGAAATTACATGAAGTGTCATTTAAATGTAAAAACATAATGGCATACTTTGGTCGATAAAATCGACAGACACAATTTTTGCTAAATTATGTAATAAAATCACAATAACATGTTTCCTCATACCCTCGTATTTTACACTTAAGTCACTTCATGTACAATAAGTGTCCTTAGTGTTCATCATTGCAGAATGATGCAGACGACCAAGCTCGCTAACCACTGTAACACACTACTCATTCACAGCGCAGAGTCTATTCCTTATTCAGTTTGGTCAAGTGGATGTATTATACATGGGATTCAGCGGTATATTTTGTTTAACCACACAAAATTTAGCAATGATATATACCTACATTCTTCTCACATCGGCCTACTTAATTTTCAAGGAATAAAAATATTCTGCCCAATGCATCGTCCTTATGTGTATCATATATAACAGAGTAACGAACGATTTTCTTATAAACTAGCATCTAAAAGGGGAGAATATGCTTTATCATGTTCACGTTTGTATCCGTCGGAAGATGGGCACTCGTATTTTTAGCATGTTATCAAGTAACTATGAAACTGTTGTAAGCTCTCATTTTCTTCGGAAACAACAAATTAAATTCTGCATACGCCCGTTCGCAAGTCTGAACGCAATCACGATTGTTATCACCAGTACTATGTATGCAGACAAGATACTGGCTGCATAAGCCTGGTATCGATTGAGCAAAGTCATACAGGAGACAAGCAGATGCGAACTGACCACCCATATAACTTGTCCCCAATTCCTACAATCCAGAGCTGTGAAGAAGATGACACCCCAGAATGTATTCAGTAGAATGAAGCACAGAGTGATGGCTGCAGATATCATGAAAAAATATTCTGTGCCTTGTCGTAGTCCCATAGTACCAGGTCCTACCGCATCAGCCAAAACATTGACCAGGGCAAAAGCACCGCTCATGAGACCAAAACCCAAGCCACACACATAAGAGTACTCAAGTCTGCCATCTACTACATGATTAACAGCCCTCTCTGCCGCTGCCAATCTGTCTGGCGGTATATTGCATATTTCCACTTTACGCATCACACAGTACAGCAGGTATCTTCAAAAACATAAAACATTTAATTCAAAAAAGGAATGTTTCAGATATTGGATGAGAAACAGACAAAAAATATCATAGTTTACTCAAGAACAAGGCTCACCTGAAGCTTTCTTGAAACAGCACTGAGAACACCAGTCCAAATGCGAGATAATTTTGCAACGGTACAACGGCATACCAGAGTATCGATGACAGTAACAAGGAAATGAGCCAGAAAAAGGCGCTGGCTATCAGGATGATTATCCTGTAGGGATTGCTGGCGATGGTGAACGTAAACATGGCCAGTGGCAGACCGAAAGCCAAGAAGGCGCAACCGAAGAAATCCATGAGAGTCATTTTCTTTTCGAAGCAGTTGCGATGTATTGAGTACGCTGATGTCCCCCTTCACGTAGTTTCTCGGCGAACGGATGAACGAACGAATAAACGCTAAGTTCCCTTAATCCTAAGAAGCCTCTCCGCGGCTCGGATGCTGCCTTCTATCGGGCGCATTTATTCTCTCTATTATCCGCGCTGCACTGAGCTCGGCTGACGAGTGTACTTGCAGTTGTTTGTTTTAGAAATATAAAAAAGTCTATATGTACAACGTGAGATATCACTCGGTGTGTCACTCGACTCGGTGACTCGGGACGACAATCTCTTGTTCTTGTTCTTGTTACGATTGGCTCGCGCACATCCCACGGCTCCGTTCATACGCCTCTGTTTGCAAAATCGCGAGAACAATTTGCCGAACGCTGCATGGAAGAGACGGACTATTATTCGATTATTTGTATCTTACTCGAGCTCGATTATCGTATGTTTCTCCACCTTGTTTATTCCCTAGACGATAATTTTTCATTTGATATTTTCGCTCGACTTCTCTTTCTGCGAAAATGCGAAGAAATATGCGAAAAATAAAAACGAACGAGAAGAAATCCTTTTTAAGTGACGAAAGTATACACACACTGGTTTTCCGAAAAAGAGCAAACCAATTCGCAAAAGAAAGACAGCCACTTCGTGGCGCGCGCTGGCAATTTTAAGCTGAAAAGCAAGAACGGGATGCGATTGGCACGAAATTTCAATCGTCGCTTGGAGTCCCTAGGAAGCGAATTTTCTCATTGGACGTTGAATCGTCGACCCATAGGCTCAGCGAGAAGTAACTACGTACCCTGCTCTGGATTTACGATTAAAATTACTATGCCGCGTGTGTTTGATACGCTCGCCGATGCATAAAGCGTAAACTCGACTCGTCGGTTCGCGTTCCACGTTTACATAGGTCGCCAAATAAGGTCCATTTATGTTGATCGTACTTTTCTCTTTCCCGTCATCCCCTCTCTAGCGGAAAGCAGTGTACAACAGCGCATATACCGGAATCGTCAATTGAGGTGCCGCGCACTCGCGCCCGTCTTTCCTTTCACGTGACTCGTCGACGTAGACGCGACCTCGCGTACGCACATACGTACGCGCGCACGCACGCGATCGTTTCCCCGTCGCGTCGTAAACCGAGAGTCGGTCGACGCGAGAAAGAGAGAGCGATCGCCAACGACTGCCCGAGAGAAGTCACGGACGAGCCGCTGTGTAGAGGAGTCACGTGATCGTCTTATAGTTGGATATAGTTTGCCGAAGACATGGCGGACAAGGAAGATACCGAAAAGACCATCGCCGAGGACTTGGTTGTCACCAAGTATAAAATGTCCGGCGAGATTGTGAACCGTAAGGAAACACCTCTTCGTAATCGTTCGAATGGCTGTGCGAGCGCGGACGCGCGCCGCGCGCGCCTTTTCTCGCCGTCACGGCCATATGGAATGCGGCGCGCCAATGCCGGGCTATTTCGCGACCATGTGCCAGGACGAAGGCACTAGCGTTCTTGCAAGGCAACGCGATTTTCGCCGTCCAATGGTGATCCGTCTTAAATGGCATGCACCGCCGATCCTCGGTCGTTCGGCTGCGCCGCTCCCGCATTCTCCGCTCGACTCGTTTTAGTTCTGTTAAGTCGGCCCAACCATGATATGTCTCGCTTGTGAAGTCTCACGAGCTCATACAGCTACTGAGATGATAGAATGATGAGAGTTTGAAGTTTATATATATATATATATGTATAGTTAGTACGCTTGTATGTGTATAATGTTTGATTGATTACTTTAGCAGAGAGATAGGCTATGCGTTAAATGTAATCAGTAGATCATACGATACTCACTTTATTGTATTATGCTTTGATTCGCTCGCAGAAGATAACTTCTGTAAGGAGAGTATTATTGATGATTTATTTTAATGTACATATAGCTTTTTTTATGCGGTTGTATTGATGTGTACTTGAATATACATATATGTGTATGTTTGTAGGGGTTTTAAAGCAAGTATTAGAGAAATGCGTCGCTGGAGCATCTGTGAGGGAGATATGCGAGTATAGTGACAAGCTACTTCTAGAGGAGACTAGTAAAGTTTTTAAAAAGGAGAAGGAGCTTAAGAAGGGAATTGCTTTTCCAACATGCATATCAGCAAATAATTGTATTTGCCACTTCTCTCCCATTACTAGTGAACCTGATCGTATACTTAAAAATGAGGATATGGTTAAAGTGTAAGTTTCTCCGCAGTGGAATGCTGCTCTCTTGCAACCTTTCATAATCTATTATATGTTTTGCACATTGATTAATTAATTCTGGCGACACTTAAATTATTTAGATTGATCTTTGTTGACAATGTAATATGCGATATGTAATATTAATGAAATCGCTTTGTAATTGCAGTGATCTAGGAGCACATGTTGATGGCTTCATAGCTGTAGTGGCACACACCATTGTCATAGGTTCTTCAGCAGAGAACAAAGTGACAGGCAGAAAAGCAGATGTAGTTTTAGCTGCACACTATGCTTCTCAAGCTGCATTGAGGCTTTTGAAGCCAGGTACAGAGGTAGGATTGAAAGTACCTTGTGTTATCATATTTGTTGGATCTTATAGAATGTGAAGAATGTTCAACTAAAGTCGCGGACAAACATCTGATATTCGTTTGCATTTTTTCAGACTTACACGATAACAAGAACCGTGGAGAAAATATGCGATGCCTACAAGTGTAAGCCGATCGAAGGAATGCTAAGTCATCAGTTAAAACAGTTCAAGATCGACGGAGAGAAGACAATAATTCAGAACCCGAACGATGCACAGAAAAAGGAGCACGAAAAGTACACACTCGAAACTCACGAGGTACGAAAGTCCGGCACATGATTAGAGTGATGCTTGTTACAAACATAAAAAAAACGTAAAATGGTTTTACTTCATGTTTTAACTCGATTAATTTCTAAATCTAATGGGCTGTATTTTAAATTACAGGTTTACGCGATGGACGTGTTGGTTAGTACAGGTGAGGGGGTAGGAAGGGAACAGGACACTCGGGTCACAATATACAAGAAGACCGAAGAGACATATCAGCTTAAACTGAAGGCATCTCGCATGTTCTACTCGGAAGTCTCCCACAAGCACGGTCTCATGCCATTCAATTTACGTACTTTTGAGGATGAGAAGAAAGCTAAAATGGCTGTAGTAGAGTGTGTAAATCATAGGCTGATCGAGCCGTTCCAGGTGAGTACTTACTCAAATTTCGGCTATCGTTTAGTGTAAGTAAATAGAAAAGTTTTAATGCTGTTTCCCTGACATGCAGGTGCTGTATGAGAAACCGAACGAGTACGCTGCGCAGTTTAAATTCACGGTGCTCTTGATGCCTAATGGACCTCACAAAATTACAGGTATTCCCTTTGACCTGGACGTTTATCAATCCGACTGTGTTGTGGACGATCTTGAGTTGAAGGTGTGTATAATGTTCAAATGGGAGAAAATAATTTAGCCCAGCCCCGTGTGATCGTTGCATTATGTATCTCTACCTGAAAATTGCAGAATCTTCTGTACTCTTCGGCGAATCCGAAGTCCGCGAAAAAGAAGAAAAAGAAGGCGGAGAGAGCAGTGGGAGATGTCGCGATGGAAGTCGATGCCAAGGCCTAACACTGTCATTTTAACATACACCATGACTTACGACATCGTGCACTACTCCGATATTTTTTATTTAGCGATTTAAGGGCCAAGGCTGGACACTTTCGAAATAGATCGTAACAAATAGCCGTAACGTCATCCAGAGGCACTGCATCGATAAGTCGCACTGCGCGACGCTTCGCGTTGCTATGTCCTCGCCATCCTTGTGAAGGAGTATCGTAATTATCTGGTATATTTGCGCGTGCGTGCTTATACACACACACGTACACACACACACCCACCCACCCACATACACACACACACAGCATATACACGTGGAGACTTTGTGCTCTTGACAGAAGTGCCGACTTTTGCTCTGCCAGAATAAAATCTTATCATACATTACGCCACAATTTACACACACCATCGACGCTTAAGTTTTTATACCGGAGTATCTTTTAACGGATCATGGTATTATTATTACTGTACGCGGATTGGTGATTATTCGTATGTGACTATTACTTGCAATTGTTGTATCGCATTTAAACGTCTGAATTAATGTTTCCTACGCAACGATCCTGTGCGGTTGTTTTTCGTGGATTGAGTCTAATCGAAAAAATGAATCGTATATATACATATATATATATATATATATATATATATGTATATAGTAACAAAATTTTCGTTTATATATATATATTTACATATGTACGTATGTATATATAAACGAAAGTTTTTTTACTTCCTGATAAAGACCGCATTCCGAAATCTACTGAGAATGCTGAAAATCGTATAGTATAACATATGTAACTTGAACTATAGATTTTTAGTACTGTCAGCGCATTCCGGAGCGCAGCCACGTCGATTATACTTTAGAAAGAGTCTAATCAATTCACGTATAATTGTTTCACCGAGCGGGATATCGGAAAGAAATGGGGACAATTTGATTTGTGAATAGAATAATTGTATTGTAACTTCACTGTGAATACCCGTATGAGATACGATTCACTTCGATATATGTCGCTAGTTTCACGCTAGTCGATTTTGCATCCTGTGTCCAGCTACGAGAAACACTATAATATTAACGTTTAACTTCAAATTGTATAATTGGAGGAATGTCCGTTTTGGGACACTGCATAAATAATGACATGCCAATGATTCTCCGAGTGTTTCGTTGCGAAAATACCCCCGACCGAAAGAGACAGAGAGGGAGGGAGAGGGAGAGAGAGAGAGAGAAAGAGAGAGAAATAATTGCTCTATTATAATTTATTCTCGTACGCCGTGCAAATTACAAATTGTGCGCGGAGAACAAATTGTTAGTAGCAGCTGGAAATGCATTCAACATCAGGCGTGTTTATTTGGGCGTGAGAAAGAAAAAGGGAAGAATAGCTCTTTACAAGAAAACACACATTCTTAGGAAGTAAATTGACTTGCCGACTTGCTACAAGCCACAAATTATAAAAAATTAATATACTGTGTAATACTAGTTTTATATATAAGAGGGATAGATAATGTATCTGTTATAGATATTTTTTCTACTCAAGTTGTGTGCATATGTCGAATGTTACAGAGTGTGCTTGTATAACGGAAGATGTCTTTTAGATCGTTGTGCACTGTCCATCATTTGCCCGAATATCTTCCGCACATTCGCTGTTCGCGTCTAGAACGTAAAAAAAGGAAAAAAAGAAAACAGTAATGTTACCGAGGAACTTTGAATTGCAATGAATGGAAATTTTCGTTGGAACAAACGAGCAAATATGAGACGTCTGCAAACGAGGGCCGTGCACAAAATTCATACTCAGTAATAAAATTTAATACGGTGATATGACGAAATTGTTATTATAAAAATGCTTGAGACGACAAGCTAACAAGTATAGACAGATTTTGACACATGCATATATGTATTTCACAGATCATTATATATTACTCCATTTCTCTTTCAACGTAGCTGAGTACGTAATCTGCAAGAAAAAAAAGTGCTATGTATTTGTAGAAAGATAAAGAAGCAAGAAAATTTCACCGATTTGAACTTGTAGTTATACAGACCGGATTTTATAGATTATCACTTGTTGATAATTTTGCTATGACGTATGATCTCTCTGATCAGAGTGAGGATGTAAGTACAGAAATATAGAATAGTATTTACAGTGGTGTCTTTATTGTTAAAGCACTGAGTATACTTCACTATTTACTTAAAAATTAGCCCACTTTTTTTTTTTCAATGTTTCTTTTCCATATATTCTCGTTGCGTTTAAGAACCATTAAGGAGTCGCTATTAGAACGACCAAACAAATGCAGACGCACGCTGAAGCGGATAATCGCAGATTTGTGAACTGGATGAACTTCAATACAGTCCTGCATAGAGAAGGCGAATACCTGGCTCGCGAAAAGTATTACAGAACAATACGCAATTCTGTGAATAATTTTTCGCTTTACACTTCTATCTCACCGTACTTAAGTCTCTCTCGGTTTATTTCAACTTCATGGACAATACATTCGCGGTAAAGGTACGGGGCAATTAAATAGAGACGATAATTCCCTGTCGTAGTTACAGCATCTCTTGATCGCTTTGCGGGAATTTCAACTTCAAGACCATCGTATTGGGCGTTGTGACGTCGGCAACGTTAATCTCGCTACCGTCTCTTAGACCCAAGTCGATCAATGATTTAGTCAAGTTCTCACGAGTCCTTTCTTCTATGCTGGACACCGTCTGCATATATAGAGTTTTATTTTTACCGTTTACGTTCGTCGTGAGGCCGGGACTCTTCATCTGCAAGTCCGGCCGATTGCACAGCAGCTCTATCAGATCCTGTAGTTTACATTTGTGGTCTTTGATCTCGATCACTATCGGCACTTGGCTACACGCTAAGCAATCTTTCTTTCTCTCTGCCTCGTAAGTATACGTGTAAACTCCGTCCAGATTATTCAGCACCTACGAAACAAAGCACCGATCATTCTCACTGAGACCGTCATTCGTCTTCACGATGAATGGTCGTGCGCTTGTCGTCAATTACCATGTAGTTGTTCAAGGACGCACTACAACTACTGGCGAGCTTGAACGCTTCCGTCGCGCAGATCGCGGCGATAACAGCGTTCGTCGACGCCACCGCCGGTATGATGTTCTTCACAACACCTTGTACCAGTCTGTACGTCAAGCCTTGTATGCCGAACTGAGCCGCTCTTTCGTTCGACTTCTCGTAGATCCAGTTTATGTGCTGCGGATCATCACCGTCTATCGCGCAGTCGAACGGGTTCTCCTTCGGCCACTGTATCACCTTCACATATTCTATACAATGCTCTGGCAAGCGTGGAGTATTGGCTATCGTACATAAAGGATATGTAACCTATGTAAGGCACAAACAAGCTTCTAATATATAATATACAAGTTTCATCCATCGGCAATATTGGTTTTGCAAGTAAATATCGAGGATCATTCACCTGTGGTGGATACAAGTCTAATGTGCAATCGATGCACGGACTCATACCAGGTAGTATAACACGAGCGTTTCCCTTGAAGCCTTCAGTCCCACCATCTATCATTGGTATAATGCTGGTCTTGTCCAGTTCACCATCCTCATAGACGAGTATCGACAACAGCATACCATTAATCCATCTCCTCGCGACTATCGAGTCCAATCCACAGATTATCATATGGAATTGCCGGTAGAACTCCTCGTCCTTAGCTTGTATCTCGCAGTTGTGTGCGATCACATTGCAGCCTGGTACTCTGCTGTTTATAAATCTCGCAGCCACCTCAGCCTTATAGGATCCAATGTCCTTGTGGCGAAACAGGAATTGCCTGCAACATTCAAAGCAGAGAAGTGGCATCTGACAGTCATTTACAGCATTCAAGGCTCGTGTTCGAGTTACTTTCCTTATATAAAATAAACTAATTTTTCTTAAAAATAATTTTCACATAAACATTGTATATAAGCTATGTTAAGACTGGACACGAGTATTCATAACCTAACCTACCGGTTGAGGTTAGATAGCTCAATCGTGTCCATGTCGATCACATGGATCTGCCGAAATCCCATCAGAGCCAGATTCTTGAGCAGCTCACATCCCAGGCCACCAGCACCGATCACGAGCAGCTTGCAATTTTCCAAAAGAAACTGCAAGGTCTCGGAACATGGCTCGAAGTCGGGCCGACAGAACGGACCCGATCTTTCCAGTACTTTTCGCAAATTGCCCCATCGTCTGTGGTCGGGACCCATTATTGCCGGTCGCTTGAATTAAGACTCGACCAAGCTGGAATAACGTATTACGTCTTCGAAGTTTTATTCAGGTACAATGCAAGTCGAGAAGCGCGCGTTTTCCAACGTTCTTTTTTCCAACGAAATCTTCTTTATGAACCGATCCCAGGTTTATTTCTGTTATTCTTGAGACACAACGTCTCGTTTAGTCCTTTACAACCTATAATTACATGCCAAACACCCTTAATACGCAACAACAATTCATCCGTGACAGCTCGTCCAAGGTTCATCACTTGGTCATCACAACGCTTGGTCTGTCTTTCTTTTTGGCTGCACTACTGAACTGGTGCAATAAGTTAAAGTGAGAAAAGATATAGTAAAGCCAGCGGCACACGGTGCTTGTTTTCGTGCTGGATTGCTTGCTGGATGAAAATATTGCATTCTGATTGGTACATTTCCATCCATCTTCGAAAAAACAAGTGCCGCTGGCTTGAGACAAACGCTGAAGTAAATAAAGAGTCTGTTCTTTTTAGCTGCACTACTGAACTGGTGCAATAAGTTAAAGTGAGAAATAATATAGTTGTCTCATTCTAACTTATTACACCAGTTTAGCAGTGCAGCTAAAAAGAACAGACCAAAGAACGAAGGAGTGTCAAGTGCAACTTCAACTTTCAAGTTGCACGAACAGATCTAATTACAGGCTGATTTATATGGCCAAATATGGCGACGTTTGCATATCAATTGTCCTTTACAAAAATGTTTCTATTGGCTGTTTATAGGATAGGAACTTTCCTAGTTTCATAGTAAAATCCCTAGTTGCGTTTTCAAGATCTTACGTTTTCATTAAAGTAATAAATATAAATATGGCGAGAAAGCTTTAAGAAGTGGGGCCTCCTTGGCTGACGGAAATTTATCTAGAGCTGTCAGTCTTTATATTACCTCGTCGATGGTTATATTATAAATTTTCAGCCATGAATAATTTTTAAACACAGCCAATAAAAGTGTGTGTATATACTTCACCTCTCGTTTTCCCTCAATGGTTTTCCCCTCTTGCCGAATATAAAATTTAGACTTTACCTTTATATTTTCATATCTATACGTTTTATTGGTTGTGCATTATCTGTTATGTTTATCTTAAGATAATATACGGCCAACGAGATCGCCAATGTTACACAAGTCATGCATATGGAAATATCTGATAGTGTATCAGATATGACAATTGATGTGTGCGATAACAACTTGCTCACGATGGCACGTTCTAACCTCCAACCGCCACGGTTGGAAGACAAAATATACCGTCGCGATTGCTTACTTCGCAGCAATGTCGAATTACCATCAAATGGCGGTGCCAAGTTGTCGCGCGAAAAGACGCAAAGACAAACGAGGTAAGTTCCCGAAGGAGAATCCACAGTGAACCATCGGACTCCGAGAGATCGCGTGTACGAATTTCACTCCTCACGTGTGAGTCTAACCCTCGGACTTCACATTTCAATGTATCAGCTCGACCATAAGAGAGACTCGGCTTATACATAGATAACCAGCTATTGAATAAATAAAGCAATTGATGTGATAAGCAAATAAAATAAAAATGCCAAAGTATACGCTGAGAAAGTACTCGCGGTAGATTCGATCCTTTCGCATGCCGGTATTGACGTCGAGATGCAGCTCGAAACATCATCCGTCAGCCGTCGTCAACTGGAAAAAAAGCGTTCGCGAACGAAGCAGGAAAGCCTGCGATCGGAAGTACGAATGAACCAAGTATCTCATTCAACCGGCACTTTTCAAGCTCTCGAGCGTTTCTTGACGTGCATACGCGCGAAGAGTTTGTGGAGCAATAGCCGATGCACCTGGTGGGGCGAAGGGGGAGGGCAAAACGGCAGGGAAGACAGACGGTGCGACCTCTAGCGAGGCGTAATGGGTGTGCATCGTAGCAATGCGTTGCATTGCTGTCGAATATGGCGTCGAGCACGGACCTGACGGAGTATTCGTCTCCGGTGAAGCGTCGTAGGGTGGACGACGGCAGCGGTCACGGGAGCATCAGCGGGGCCACGATGGATTCGATGACTGGTGAGACAGCCCACGCCAGGCCGAACGAAGATCTCGAAGGTATCGGAAAATCCGTAAACGCACGCGAGATCGCATGCATGCACAGATTCGCGGCTGTTCGCAAGATGGCGGCGACCGAGCGTCTTTCGGCCATCCATCGCGTTCGCGGTCTTCATCTCGCTCGTCGCGCGTTCGCGACGGACGCCATGACAGTCGGCGGAATTGCGTCGTAGTTTCGTCGTAGCGTCGTATTCGGCCCTTGGGTCGATCGATCGTGACCCGCTATTCCGAAATTTCTCGACTGTCCGATTTCGTGGGATATTTTATTTAATTTTTTCCTCTTCGATGCGGAATATATTAATGCTCGAATTTTCCACGGCGCGCGAGATGTCGATCGATCGATCGAAATTTCTGACGGGGTACGCGCGCATATCGTGCGGTCGCCGTGTTCTTCGTCGACGTTCATAGATGGCATTCGTATGGTCTGTTCGTTTTAGTTGCGTCTTCTGCGTTCGGACTCTACGTGGTTCTCTTCGTCTCACGTATGATTGTGTATACTCAGCTCGCTCGAAATGCAGGAAACGCGGAAAAGCGAGATCAGAACGAGTGGATACTTTGAGTGTGCGGAGGATACATTGAAGTTTTTCTGTGTATTTTTTCGCTTGGTTGTATTTTTTACACTTAATGCGAGGGAGGTGTAATATTTAAGCTCTGAAGAGAAAGAGAAGTCAAATCGAATGAAATTATAGGGTCTATTCTTTTCCGAAAAATTTTTGAACTACTACACACTAGTGCAATAAGTTAGAATGAGAGAGAGTATATCTATTCCACTTCAACTTATTGTTCTAGTTCCGAAGTTCAGAGAAAAAGAACAAACCTGTAAAGTATATGTTAGAAATGAATGAAATTTCTGCATTCGATTGAATAAAGTAAAATACATGTAAAATCAATATAAAAAATATGAAATAACAGTTGAAAAAAAGACAGTTGAAATGAAATAAAGATATGAAATAGAAGTTGAAAAGTATTAAACTTTGAATAAAAAATAGTTTTGGAAAAATCCTTTTTTATTTAAAAGATATCTATTTGCAATATTTGAAATAAGTTGAAAAAGAAAATTTTTGTATGTGAAGAATAGTCAAAGTTTTACACATTTGTTGTAGAATTTAATATAAATTAATTTTTTATAAATTCATCTTTTTAATTTATATAAATTAGAAAGAAATTTATAATTTAAATTTATAAATTTACATTTATCAGTGCAAACTACAATTATATCTATATTTGTAGAAACGTTTGGTACAGACAATGAGTTCACGGAACTGAGTGATGAATCCAAATCAGCATCCATATCTCCTGCAACCACAAGTTTAATATCACCACCATCTCGAGTCGACTCAATCAGTGATGATACTGGTTGCCCGTACGTTTTACTTATGATTAATTAATTTTGTTAATAATATGAAGTAATAGGTTCATTTTTCAAAACTTAATTTTTTACTTCAGGATCGATACTGCGGATGAAAAAGATGAGGTATCTTCCACTGTTTCAAATCTGTCAGATTTATCGGGGTTATCTGATCTTTCTGGAGAGGCAGAAATTAGTCATCAATGGAGGAACGCTTCTTCCTGGGTTCAAAAACAGGTGCTCACTGGTGCTGATCCAAGAAATCTCCTACACCACTTGCTCATGGGTTCTACACAAATTCCTGAGCAGGTTAACTACCTGACCCTATAAAAAATATTGAACATAATTTTTACTTTCGTCGCTTAATGTTTAAAATTCAATACAAGGAAGTGTAATAATCGCATGAACGTCACGAAGAATAATGTGAATTTCAGATCATAATTAACATGATATCGGAGCCTAGGCAAAAACTCCGACACGTAAACACCTTAACAGACGTGGTGCGATTGGTTCGCAACAGCGAGAAAATTATAGTATTGACTGGCGCTGGTGTAAGCGTTAGCTGTGGTATTCCTGACTTTAGAAGTAGGGATGGTATTTACTCAAGATTAGCACAAGACTTTCCGAATTTGCCAGATCCACAGGTACTTCAAAAATTTCACAATTCTTTGTCGAATCATAAATAGTTTGTATACACAGTCGATATTTAATGATATGGAATCTGTTTTACTTTATTTCGGTACATGAGATTTAAATGTAACAGTATCTCTCTTGTGACATGTAACTGTATATATCTTGCACAAGGCACCATTGTATTTAGACATCTCGAAATGTTAGTTCTCACTAGATAAAATCTTATTTACAGGCTATGTTTGACATTACTTATTTTGCTGAAGATCCCAGGCCATTCTACAAATTTGCGCGCGAAATATACCCAGGACAATTTGAGCCTAGTCCCTGCCATAGGTTCATCAAAATGCTAGACAAACAGAAGAAGCTCTTGAGGAATTATTCGCAAAATATCGACACTCTGGAGCAAGCTGCTGGCATTGAGAATGTGATCGAATGCCATGGTATGTCTAAATGTTTAATTTCGCAGACTATCATAATGTTATTTTAAATAGATTTGATAAACTCTAAAGACATTAAACTTTTGTAATGTAAATATTAACTATGACACAAATGCATGAAACATAATACATAACATTAATATGATAGTCTACATTGTTTTTCAAATAATGATGAAACTGTCAGAAATATATATGTGCATAAATGTGTTTTCTATCGAAGGCTCCTTCGCTACTGCGTCGTGCACAAATTGTAAATATCGAGTGAAAGCGGACGAAATCAGGGAAGACATCTTCGCACAGAGGATACCTTTTTGTCCGAAATGTCGTGAGAAGGATATATTGCGTTCTCTGCCCAAGCTTAACCCCAACGAGAACTACCGAGGTAAATAAGCAGCTCGTTTTTATCTGATTTTTGCTGATAGTGTATTTATTTGCAGTCTTTCGTAACGGCATGTCGATTTCTACGGTACGGAGAGTTAGCTAGTGATAGTTTTCCGCTATTAGCTATAGTATCGCTATAGAGTCGATGGCCAATGAGAGAACGTTATCTACTCGTCTCGGATTGTGCATCTCGAACTAAATGCTGTTACTGATCCAACGCACAATAAGTCGGTACATCAATCGTAACTGCGAAAGTAAAGTTTCGCTTGTTAATAAGCGCATAAAGGTAAACTTCTAAAACTTGCCGTGTTTAACGCGGCTGTAACGTGCGTAGGGTCCGCGGTGTCCGGTCTTATTAATCCTTATCATTTGCTGTTTCACCGAAATTTAGCAGTACTTCAGCGCGATATTGTAATTAAACAGAATGCAGGAACAAGGGACATCGTTTCACAAAGATTGATCGAGCGACCCGAGATCGCTCGCAGGAGGTTTAACACTGACTCGCGTGATTTCCAGGTCTGGTATCCCAAGGCATAATGAAGCCAGATATCGTTTTCTTTGGCGAGGGGCTGCCGAATGTATTTCACGACGCGATGGCCAAAGACAAGGACGATTGTGACCTTTTAATCGTTATTGGCTCATCCCTGAAAGTTCGACCGGTGTCTTTAATCCCATCATCCATTCCGTCTCATGTACCGCAGATCCTCATTAATCGGGAGTCATTGGCACATGTTAAGTTTGACGTTGAGCTGTTGGGCGATGGTGATGTTATTATTAATCAGATATGCCATCTGTAAGTAACATCTTTGAACATCGTATTACTTTTATACATGAATATCTTTTTATATATCTGTGTAGAAGGGGATACTTCATATGTAGTTTTTGAGACATTTCTGATTCGACGTGACAGTACTACCAATTACAATTAAGGTCCTGGTCGACATCTGGTCGTTTTGCAGGTTGGGAGACACTTATAAAGAAGTCTGTTGGCATGATAAGATTTTGAAGGAGGCGTCACAGCTTCTACCGGTGCGTTGTCTGTCCGACGACACATGGGAACAGAGTCAAGATACAACCACCAATACCGAACTGTCGCGCGACAGCGTCGAGGTCGATTTAAAATCTCACAATGTGTCCTCGACTGAGAGTCAAGATAGTCTGTTGATCAACGCCAACGCAATGTCACAACGTGCGGAGGATATCAATATCTGCGTGTCACCTTTCTATGGCGGGCACATGGATAGTACAGAGGAGGGCTTCAATCTTCTGGGAGAGAGTCCAAAGAGGCGATCGGGTGATACTAGTATAGAGAACAGTCCCAAGCGGATGAATTTTGGCAATACCCGCGATGCGAAACTGGCGAGTTTCGTTTCATCGCCGACAAAAATCAACGTCGAATGTGCAATGACCTCACCGAGGAATAAGACTCACGTCCCATCCACGGAATCTGTGTCTGAAAATAGTTCAATGGAGGAATGTCAAGTAGTACCGACGACAATGTCCATTTCATCGGAAGCGGTTCTCTACGATAACACTCTAGAGTCGCACAAATTATTAGACAACTGTGGACAAACGATCAAGTACGACGACACCATGACAGCAACGGACATCGTGGAGTCGGACAAGATGATACCGAAGCCGAGACAAGCATCGGTGGACTCTGTCTTAGATTCTGGTATAGGTGACAGTTGTAACAGTGTCGACAGCACAGAGAAGTACGGCATGACTGAATTGAAGAACAGAACATTGGAAGGTCACTGTTGGCAGCCGAAGATCCGAGAGAGTCTCGCTACCAGGCTACCAGGTACACGCTCTCGCTACCTTGCTCCGTATTTTATTTTGCTTCATTTTATTTTATTTCATTTTCTTTTCTTTTATTTCACTTCATATATGTTACGGAAAATTTGAGTAATTGGGAATTATACATAATGCCCGGCCACACAATACATATAATTCCTAATTTACTCGGTCGAAATGATTAATAAAAAAGAATCGATCGAAGTTTCTCGTAACATATACATTCCATTTTCTTACGTACGAGTGTCCGTACCGAGTATTGATACAATTACAATTGTTTGTAGAAAACTCATATTACCAGCTGGCGCCAGGTAGATACATTTTCCCTGGTGCGGAGATCTATTCCGAGCCCGAGGATTATGATCAGTGCTCCCTGTCGGCGAACTCCGAGAGCACAGACAGTGAGAGTGACTCCTCCTCGGGCGAGGAAGAAGAGGACGAGGAAGAGGAGACATGTGAGTCTTCCCCGAGCTTCTTTCATTCAACTCTCGATTCCTCACGGTCATAATTTGTCAGCCGACAAGTTGTTTGTTAACCGATTCCATTAGGATTACACGCGTGAAATAATGTCTCGGTGAAATTACGTTTGCGTCGCTCACAGGCGCGGATGACGATCTGTCGGAGAGCGCGGATCCCGACGCGGACTCTGATAGGCGAAACAACGACGCGAAATGGGCAAGCAATTCCTACAGCGTCAGACAAGATTAAAACGCGCTCAAGCTATAGCGGTTAATCCTCGGTAACTGTTATTACATCGGCTCTCAACCGGTGATGTTCGCCGACGAGATCATTACATAGAATCATAAACGGTGCAATTTTTACCAACTCGCAGTTCGTTCGCAACGGCAAGAATATACACCTGTATGTCGTACATAGGCAGAATGGTTGAACGGTCGCGGATGAGCCATCTCTGCTCTGCACTGTGAAAGTCGTTGCGAAGATCAGCAGAAATCTTTATTCCACCAATGTTGGTGAGCACAGCTGTGTGAGACGGTTGAATTATCGTTGTCGTTTTGTTTCGTGGCTGCCGCCAGAAATGGTCGCGGGTGCATTTAAATTTCAATCAGGGTTTCACGTCGAAGTTTTTCTCTATTCGTGTGTCGTGTGCGATTCATCACCACGTGATCTTCAAAAGAGTGATTTCAAATATCTGCACACGCAATGTGTAATTCGACGTGTTACTCTATCGGTGGTTTATAAATTGTGATAAGTGTTGCTCGTGATAAATGTTCACTCTTTCTCTCTCTCTCTCCCTCTCTTTCAAATCTGTTTTTTCTCATTACATATGAAAATTTAAAGCCACCGTTATTTCTGCTTATAGTTGGAAACCGCGGGACGAAAGCACAACGGTAACTACGTCTCACATGTTGTCCACACGATCTTTGCTAATAATGAAGATTATGGAAATTATCGAGATTGCTTTTAGCTTAATACACTATCTATAATTATTTCGTTTCCTAATAATAATCTATTAAGAGCTACTTTATACGCGCATGAGGTGTGTACATATTGGTGTTTCAGCACGACTCCTTCGTCGTAAGATGAAGAGTCGGGAGACACTAACGGAATTTAGATTCTGTTTCAATTAAGTGGTAACGATGGTAACGTGTAAATATGAGATTAAACGTAAACGTATTAGCACGGTTAAAAATCGCGGATTGTTGAGTCTATGATGCGAGTAAAGTGATATTCCAAACGGTAAATCCGTTCGTTTTAGCTGGTCTCTTCTGCATTTAAAGTGAAACAAGTTTACTCACATATTTTGACGGGCCAGAAAAGAAAAAAGAGATAACGTGGGAGAACGGAAGGGAGGTGCAAAGAAGAGAGTAGTGAGTATAGCTAAAATCAACGGATCCAATTAATGCATTTTGCGAAAATGAGATCTACTATCTTATTTTATTATATCAGAATGAATGTAATCACACCTTTACGCACGCGAGCACACTCACATGGCACGAAAAGATGTCATGTTAGTTTGTTAGAAACTGCAAAAACTGTCTTGAACGAGAACGATTTCTTCATTCGCGATTCTTGATTCAAATTGATTAGTTGAATGACATTGAAACGATACGATTAATCGATGAGAAAGCGATAGTATGACAAAACATGCAGAATCTGCTGTAACTAATTAAAAATTAAAAAAAAAGAACTTATCCGCGACGCGCGTCATGCCCGTCGTTATGAATAGAATCGCTAGTATTAGTCGACATCTTCTTTCAACGTTGCAAACTTGAGGGAGGGATAATAGCTAATTACAAATCATGTATCATTCTATTAGCCTTGAATTCAGCTCAAAAGTTTATATTCTCCCATTTTGTGTGCGATTTTCGGCTACAAAATAAGTTTCCGAGACTTATTCACATAGGCACACAATTGGGACCGGGCTTTCGGCACATTCGGCGAATAAGATCCTGCAAAATCGCACGATCGATCCAACGTGTAATCGACGATCACTGATTCTATCGTACGTTAAGTTGTACTAATAAGCTTCTCGCATCCCAATACGGATAATCGTCATGGTTTGGCAGTGAACACTTTTTTTTTGTTAGACTCTTTAAGTTCAACTTTGTTTCATTGGAGCACGGGCGAATGTACAAAGCAATGTTGGATAGCTTCGCATTGCGTGTTATTTTTATATGAGCAAGAAAAGAAGTATATAGAATAGCGAATTTACAAGATTAAAAAAAAACAAAATGACGCAATAATCTTTGACAAACCGTTGTTGAATACGGTTCTGCCGTGACAAACTAAAGTGAACCGTACATAAATAAATGAAAGAAGGAAAAAAGATGTGTAGTGCAAAGGCGGATAGTGCAAAGAGAGAGAGAGAGAGGGAGAGAGAGTGTGACGTTGTTTATGAGAATGTTTTGCTGAGACACATTTTATATGCATATAGAGAAGAACGGTTCTGTCAAAGACATTATTGCAATTTATCTGTAAGGAATAAAAGAACGGTTGTGTGCAAGTTTTATTATAATATAATTATAATGGACGTAAACTTACTTCGATTCAATGCTATCGCATTGTATGAGTAATGTTTGAAATAACGGCGAAAATTAAGTAAGTGGGAAGAAATGCGTGTGCGTGCGTATGTACTTGCGAGAATGAGAGAGAAAGAGAGATGGAGCGAACGATATTAATAATTCACATGCGATAAGCAACGTATGTAAGCACACTCTTCTAATAATGTGACATAAGATTTTACTTTTCTTTTATTCCGCTATATGCAAGTTCTACATGGGAGAGAATCGTGTCCCGGTATAGAGACACTTTTACTACAGCGGCAAGAAGACTCATTTAGTAGACCTGTTTGCTTCCGAAAAATACCGTATAATTTCGGTTCCTTACAATAAGAGACAGTTTTATATAAGATTAGACATGAGGATTATTGATTTTTTGCCTTGTAAAAAATTGCTTTATTTATCACTGTTTTGCTGAACAGAAGGCAGATTAAGTATATTATTATTTGATAAATCTTTTTGTATTATTATTTATTTGATATATACACGCAACACGCCACACACAACACACACACACATACACACTTGTGAATGTATATGTGCATGTAAAGTGTACATGTATGTATACAGGCGCACGAAAAAACGAATGATTGGTTTCCAGATGCTACTCATATAATTTCGCAGATCCTTGGAAACTCCGACTCTCTGCGATCTCTCGACTAGGTACACGTAATAATAATAATAATACATATGACTACAATCATTCAGCAGTTGATCGCGCGAAACGCGTGATCTAGCTCCATTTCTGGGTTGCTCTTTCTTTTTTTTATTTTATTTTATTTTATTTTTTTTTTTTTAACTTAATTCTTTACTTATGCGCCGAGGCTACTTAAGGGATTGAGTCGGAGCGTGTGTGATCACGAGAATACATCGATCCAGCGTCATATGTTTTTGTCGTATGATTATATTTATTTTATACATATAAATATATTTTTTATATGTAGTGAAAAGAATTATACATATAATGCAGCATGTGTGCTTGTATGTGTATGTATGTATGCAAGCGTACGTATGTGCGGTATGTGAGAGAGTTATAGTTGCGTCGATTCGGAGAGAGCTGTCAACTCGTGGAGGTTTGACAATCATACCAACTTTCTTGCGCGGTACTGACTTTTCTGTATAAATATGTCGTCACGTGTAAATATTTATTATTTTTACTGTACAACGCCGGTCGCCGTGTTTTGTCGCATCAGCTGAATGACCGAAAGTGTGCAACGATTATTTTCGATTCGTGTCCGATTTCATTGACCGTATCATAAACGATTTCCCGAGCACTTTCGAGCTAACGCGACAAAACGAGCCGACGTTCTGAATTTTTTATAATTTGTTATTTAATGTAATGACTGTTATAAAAAAAAATGTTCTCTATTACACACGTTGTAAGTTTTCTGTTTCTTTGGTATTACTAACGTATAAGCTTATCTCTTAAATTAAACATTTTTCTATGATAAGACTGTTGTCTTTATTTCCTTTCCTCCCTCGCAATGTGCAATAAATAAGCGTTTGAATGTCAAATATTAAACCACTCGACGAAATTTTATAATCCGCATAATAACTTTATAATTTATTCATGTTGAAGACATTCGTCCTAGATTTAACGTTAAAAACTTAATCGATGAATAGAAAAAGACGACTACGGTAAGTGAGAGTGATAGTGTCCTTGTTTTAAATTTTATTACCTGTTATAACAAGCATCAAATAAAATTAAAAGCCACAGTGAATGCTGGAACGTCATACTTAATTACAGCGTTGACGATTAATATGTTTATTTGTTAGGTCTATACGGTTGTCCTCTAATTTCTTTTCAAAACTGAAGTCTCAATGAAGAAAGAAGATTAAACTGTCACGTCATTCGATGGTATATCTGTTCTAAGAGAGAAGACAAATAAATCAAAATTTCTCTATAAATTAGAAAAATTATAACAATTGAAAGCGCAACGCTGTACAGCTTCGTACAGCAGAATCAGCTTTGTACACTTAGCTTAATACGTTCATTCATTCATGATGTTGGGTGTTCATACGACTAAGGGCAAAGTGAGAGACATAATGAAAAGAAAGTGTAATGAATTCGTCGGTCGTTATATTTATTTATTTGCTTTATTGTATTATATGTCATATAATAGTTTTGTATTATATATCGCAGTTATCATAAATCAAATTTGAAAATAGGCTTTAAATTATAACAATATATCTTAGAGAATAATTGAAGCGCTCCCTGGAATATAGGTCAAAAAGCCCTCGTACGTCTTCCATGAGCTTCATCTTTGAAACTTACGTGTGTGTATGTGTGTGTATGTGTGTGTGGGGACCGTTTCAATTACAGTATATATCGTCGCTATGTATTGAACACTTGCCGAAATCCCCACTAAAAAAGATTTTCAAATGTTCAATCAAAATGAACATTTCGTACATACATATATACATACATATATACATATATATGTATGTGTATACATATACGTATGTATTTCGAGTGTATCTATTATTATTATTAATATTATTATTATTATTATTATTATATCTTTACTAGTCCAGCCGAGATAGCGGATGACGTTACTGTCTCTTTCTCTCCTGCTTTCTTTCTCTTTCTCTCTATCTCTCGCATTCTCTCTTTCTTTCTCTCTCTCTCTCTCTCTCCTTCTCTTTCTCTCTCTCTCTCTCTCTCTCTTTCTTTTTCTCTCTATATACCATATTTTTTTCTTGCTTTCTTTCCTATAGTTATGTCTTGTGTGTAATAATAACCATAATATAATAATAAACATTATTACCACCACAGCAATAATAGTATTATAATAGCACTGTTGCTAGGGACGCACAGCTATATTTTTATGCGTTGGCGGCCCGCTACCATTTTAACAATGAACAGTATTCATTGATCTGAATAGGATTCGGTATACGTAATATAATATATTATTAATACAGTGTGTATTCGATTCGTGCCGACAATTCTGTAATGCTTACGTAAATTCGATTTCGAGAAACTGGTCATTTTACGCGTGTGTGTATGTGTGTGCACAATGTGTGTACGTGTGTGTGTATATGTGTGTTTATGTAATCGAGCACGCGGCTATGTGTTGTGTGCTTCATAAAAACTCGCTACGAGTATCGTACGATAATCTGTGTCGGTTTAATCTGCCTTACAACGGAGCACGATTGTTACGTTGATCAATAACTGACGCTATATGAAATAAAAGGAGGGGCACGGTAGCGCGTGCAAGTGACGATTGGCGATGAACCAAAAGCTCGTGATCGCGGGAACAACATCGTTCTCTCGTCTCGTTCATTCGTGTTTTCGTTCGTGTAATCTCGTTCTCTCGTTATTAATGCAGCACCAGCGTACGGCACAGAGGGGGCGAGGGAATCACGCGCGTTTCGCTCGTCAATGCGAAGCAGGTGCTACGCTTAATCAGCTGAAACGCACGATGAGAAGGGCGATCGGTGGAATCGGCGAACAAACGGCTCAGAATCGTAGAGTACTAACAACTGTGACGACTCAAGCAATAACGAGCACAGCAGGTGTGTATACAGGTGTGTGTATGTGTATGTTATGTCTGTGCACCAACAGAGATGTGGAAGAGAGTAAATGTGTATCCAGGTCCGATATAAGTCAGTAGTCCTCTCTCGGGATCGCTCTCGATCTCTTCTTCAACTTTTACGTCCTTATCATCCTTCGTTCCCCGTGTCTTCTTCGGTCTCGCTTTACAGCGTGGAAGTAATCGAAATCTCATTCGCGAAGCAATTATTTACACAACTGTATCGTACTAGTGCTACTAGTATTACTACAGTACTTGAACCTATTATAGCGTTCTTTACAGTGCGGATAAGTAACACACACGAACTATCTTCGTCAACGATCGCCCGATTGCTCGATTGAATACTAGAAGCCAATAGTTGTCCCAAAAATGCAAATAACTCATAATTCAACAGAAAGCGTGTCCTATCGCAACCGTTCGAATTGCTCCCTTCGCGCGATTCTTCATCATCGTTATATTGCAGAAGCCGAAGGGTGGGCGACTTGTGTAACATCGTGCGCGTGTGCATTTGGATTTGAAGGGTGTCGTCGCGGTTCGAGAAGTTTCTTTCCCTTTTTATCTTTTATCTTTTTTTTTTTCGTCCGGGGCATCGCGAGAATTTAGACCATCATTACCAGCGAGAAAATAGAAGAGAACACAATTATCGTTATTAGCCTTGTATTACTTATTATTAATTAGTACGATGCGCAGCATGAAAGCGCGCGGCCAAGAGAAGGAGCAGAAACCCGAGATATAAGATCCTCGCATCGGACGGCTGTTCCTTCGTTAGTCGACGCTAGCTCGGTATTTTTTTTTCTATTTTTCATACTCGATAATCATCATAATTTTCAGCATTATAATCATTATCATTATCATCATCATCATCATTTTGATACTAATAACAATAAGGTAGACAATTAAAGATCTCTTTTGCCTTATATCGTCTAGTGTGACAAGCAATATCGAGAAATCTAGGCTTGAACGAATATAATAATAGGTTCATAAGATGGAAATTTTTTTTTTATAAACGACGCTCCGTAATAGTTCCGTAATAGTTCCAATCCCGTCTATCGTACTACTTCGGATCGCAGGTATGCTTGTGTTTATGTTTATGTTTTTCTTGCACCGAGGTAAGGACTTGATGAAGCTACGCCGACAAGATCAGTTTTCATCCTTTAATGAGTCCACTTGTTCCATGCCTGCAAACAAAGTTGATCAATAAAGTCGCGTTTGGTTGTATTTTACAACAACGTAAAATCATATTTTTCGTTTGATCTCTCATCGATCATGGAACATGTCCAGGATTGAATAATTTTGAAGCAAGTTTGACGCTAAGGATCTCTCCTTAATAAAAAAATCAACGCATAACAATTAATAATCAACGTATGACATCGATCAATATCAATATATAACGTAACAATTGGTATAATTAATTGTTTACTTGCATGTGCAAAAAGGTATTAGAAGGTACAGAAATAATTAAACAAGTCTTTTGCAAGAGAGGCCGACTACTTTGAGATATTCCACATAAGGAAAGAATGGTGCTTCTATGGAGGAGCACACACATTGTACACTGGCATTACTTTTCATTTTTCATACTCTGCATTGTGAGTAGCTCGCTGTAACCTCAATATTGATGAATTATTTTAACTTGTAAAGAGGGAAAAAAAAAAACATTCGATACGTTAACATCGATGCGTTCTAAAATAATCGGTTTGAGTTAGAAGTTGAAAGTCTTTTGAGGTGACCTAAGGATTGACCTAAAGGTTGTTGTAACTTAACTTTTAACCAATTAATTAGTTATTACCCAAGCCTGGACGCATCGTGTATAACAGTAACACTGAGGGGATCCTACCGCCGGATGCTGTTTGTCTTGCACGGTGTCTGGCAACCCCCACGCGGGTGGATCTATCTTATTCGGTTCGTTGGGGGGTATTTCCGTCAAACTCGGTGCTCCAAACTGTCCCGGTAGCAACGCCAATCCCGGCATAAGCGACAGAGCCGGGGCATTACCGTTAGGGAAAGGTTGCTGGGTATCCACATGGCCCTGCACACGATCGACAGTTAATTTACATGCATATGCGACATGAACACGACCGAAATTCCGCGAGCCTTACTACTTAGACATCTTTACCAGCTAGTGTCGTCCACGAACTGGACCACACTGTACATACCGGCCTCTTTTTACTTTACCGTCCACCGCTAATTTGGGCGTTCAGAGTCTATTGTCAGTTCAGGATATGTATTCACGTACAGTGATTACGTATAATACTACAATGAAATTGCACGCATAGAATGTCCCGGATAAAAGTGGTGCGACAAAGAGATACGTTCTTTTCCAATCGATTTCGATTGACAAGTATCAAAGTCTCTTGTTTCTTCGCCGCAGTCATTTTAAGCGGTGACACCGGAAACGAGAAAATCCACGCTAGAACAATTGCTTGCGCGTTACATCGAAGTAAAAAGATACATTCACAAAGTGACACCCGCACCCGATAAATAGGCGAAACATCAGTCATGTTAATTTACCGATTTGTTTATCGATTTGTCAGAGCAAAGGGAAAGTTTTCGGGGTATTTTGGAAATATACTTGCACTCGATTGCAAGTGCCATTTTACGGGCGTATCTTTCCACTTCGACGTAATCAGCAGGGAATAGGAAGGCTAGCGTGGACGTCATCGTTCAAGATGGTTGCAACGGGGCGCGAGCGAGAAAGCGAGAGAGCCTCACCAGCGGAATCGTGCGAGAAGATCGACCGTTACCTGGAAAGATGTCTCCATCATCTGGTGCAGTTCCGGCTCGACATTGGATATACGATTGTAAGCGGCGTTTGTTCGGAACATCTGATGCCTGTCGATGCCAGGCGTCAGACCGGTCCATGAACCAACCATCTTGTCGTTCAGTATCCAATTGATAGGATCGGCGTCGCCGCCAGGACCTATGCCCGTTGCGGTATAATTCTTCCATGCCCTCTCGGTACCAATCGGCCGTGGCACTTTTCGGTCCTCGATCTTCAGCTGGCTCATCTCCTGGGCAACCTGCGCCGGCGACGACGGGGATATAGCCGGCGAGCCGCCATTCTCCAGACTCGTGATCAGATCGATGCTGCCGGGCTGCGCGTTTATGTTCGCCAAATGATTGGAGAAGCCGATCTGGCCCATCATGGGGTCCTGATGCGGCGGTGGCGGTGGGTAACTGCTGTGCGGGCCTGGAGCAAACGGCCAGCGGGTCTGCGGATTCGTCGAGATGCCAGTGTTCGCCGGGGCTGCTCGCGAGGGCGCCTGGTATTTGCCCAGGGGAAAGCTACCGAGCATCGTGATGTTGCTGGACTGTAGCGGCGCTGGCGGCGGTGGTGCCGGTACGGTTGGGAATATTGTGCCCGGGTGGAGCGTGGCCGAGCCGGTGTTGAACATGGTGACCTGCTGCTGCTTGCTATTGAGATGCAACGAGCTGGAAAAGTCTGGCGCGCGCGGATTCAACCTTGACATACTGACGGTGGTGTTCACAGATGCGGATGGGGCGATGGCAGTCTGTGCGTAACTCTGCATGTGCGGGTGGAACGGCAATAAAGGGTGACCGCCGCTTTGACTGTCGTTCGGCACCATCTTCAACAAGCTCGAGTTCACGTTCGGATGCTCGTACGCGCCGCCGCTGTTCGTCTTGAACAAGCCGACGTCCAATGCAGGCTGCGATGTCGATGGTATCACATGAGGGGCCTGATGCGCGGTGGTGTTACGCGAGGTAAGTTCGCCCTGAAAGACCGGCCGATTGAACTGCGTCATGCTCGTGCCCATCTCCATGCTTGGCTGCGGGATCACCGGTCTTGCCACTGCTAGACTGCCGGGCGGTTTGCTCGGTGGAAGGGGGTGCTCGGTGTAGCTCGTGGAGGATTGAAATTGCGGGGGCTGAATGGGATTGTGCACCGAGCTGGACGACACGCCGCTGCCGATCACATTGGTCGACGTGTTGTTCGTGCCACTCGACTTGCTGGACACGGGCGAGCACATGGTTGTGCCACGATACCCCGGTGCTTTGGACGCGTCCACCTGTTGGGCAGAATTTGGGGGGGGGGAAACGTGAGTCTTATTTCCTGTGCTAACACAATTGAGAGATTGTGCTAAAATGTCGTATTTTACGACGATTCGTTATTAGAGACCTTCGATGAAAACGCACGGAATGGATGAATTCCTTTACATCGAGAATTTCTCGGGAGAAACTTTCGATAGCGGACATTTGTCATCGATTTTAACTTTTTGTGGAACGCTTTAAAACTGCACGGTCGCTGAGGAATATTTTGGGTTGCTGTGTAACCCGTCAACCGATGAAAAATGAATATCTCCGAGATAATAAATTGTGAAAACAGTGTACCACTGGAACACATGAAATTTTACTCGTTGGGTGAATATTTCGATTTGTGAAACCCCTTTCCCTTTCATAAATCAGCTAGCCCGTATTTATCCTAAACATGTATTCTTACAAGAGAAAAAATATATTTATATATCATTAGTTATAAGTTTCCAATAAAATTAAAAGCTACAGTAGTAACATCTGCTGGAACACCATAATTACAAACATATCGTTGATGGCGAGAAAAGATATCAGATGAATTAACATTTTTCCACAAATTAGAAAAATATGACACAATTGAAAGCCGAATGTTCGAGCTTCTCATCAAAATTAATATTGCGCAATTAATAAATATTAATTAATATTTGCACGTATATTGTTAATTTGTGTTCACTTGGAGTCATTAATTGGGACATATACCTTATCGTCGCTAAAACACGCAAAAGAATGTATGCAGTGGATGAACTGTCGTGTGTATCGTAGATATAAGCCGAAGAGACTCATAAGAGAGGACGCTCTCGATGCGTCGACAACACTCAAGAGGTCAAACATAAGAAAAGAAATAGCGCGTGCGCGCGTGTGTGTGTGTGTGTCGTGAATGTGTGTGTGGAATGTAAAAGATATTCCGACATAACGTACCTGCGGCGGAGAGCTGTCAAATTTAGCCGTGGACGAACCCGACGTATTCATCGATACTCCACCACCAGCAACAGTTGCGAAGTTCATACCCTTTTGAGATTCATTGTCTCTGCCACCCCACATCGACTGTTGCGTGACCTTGGTGAACGTATCGTTGAATAAAGAATACTCGAGTGGAGTGCTATTGGACTGTTGTTGCTGCTGATGTTGATGCTGCTGCTGTTGATGTTCTTGCATGCTCGTAATCGGCGTGTTGCTGCGTGCTTGCGGCTGAGATTGTTGCTGCTGCTGCTGCTGCTGTTGCTGTTGCGATTGCTGTTGTTGCTGCTGCTGCTGCTGCGGTGGTAATGCTAGCGCCTGCGACGATACAACGGGCGGCGAAGGTGTCACTCGTACGGAATTGGCAGATGTCGAGACGATAGAGCTCTCCGAACAATTGGTCGCCGCGGTGCTCGTGGACAACGAGATCGCGCTCGTGCCGGCCGGTGGGTAGGTCGACTTGCCTCCTGGATAATGAGACGTCATCGTCGGCGGGGCGGCAGGCAAGGCAGTGGGCAGTGGTCGGCAGTGTTTCGGCGATGTACTGATTACGGACTGCTGACTGGATGTCTGAGCGGTTGCCGCGGCGACTGACGTGGCCGACGACATGACGGTCACGGTGCTGGCTTGCTGCAACGGCTTCTGCTTGTTCACCGTGGTGTGGGTGGATTGCATGACGGTGGTGGAGGTGTGAGTCGAGGCAGTGATCTCCGAGAGTTTCGCCGCGAATGTCTGCGTCGTGCTGGTAGTGACGATTTTCGTTGCCCTGCCAGCGGTCATGATGGCACTCGTGTACGACATTGTCGTCTTGGTGTTCGTCGAAGAGGCCAACTGCGCGGCGACGGCTTGTGCACGTTTCTCCGCTGTGCAAATAAAAATTATTACGTTCGCGCGAATTCTTAGTGGAAACTTTGTTTCATCGTTAGGTTAACAACAAACAACTGTGCGCATAGCTATGCCGATGAATTTACTTGACAGTTAGAAAATTGCGATATTGCGCCAAAAATTACGACAAAACGCACGGAAACATTAATTGAAACGAGAGTGTTATTCAACACTTGTTACGACTTCGAGCCGAAACAACAAAAATTTGACAGCTCAACCAAAAAGGTAAAATGAACCATCGAACGTTATGATAAAATCTTCAAGTCGAAACAAACATTGAGACACTGACAATCGTTACGACTAATGATGATGATGGCCGTAGTAATATGTACTACAGTTTCGTAAAAGAATTTCCTCCATAGGGTGATCTAGATTCGTTCGCTTTCTATATTACCTGCGGCAACAAGTCTAGGAGCTGTCGCACGTGGCAATGAAGCTGCGAATGGACCAGCTAGTTTAAGAGTGGACGAAGATCGTAGAGGAAGCAATGGATTTACAGTAGATACGCCCGATGAGTATCCGGACTTATTAATTTGAGTGCTGGTTGTACTGGATGCCAAACTAGGAGCTTTATTTACAGAACCGACTTTTGTTTTACTTGCCTAGAAAACACAAATCATTAGATCTTTCCATCGTGACATTTGTCAGCATGCGTCATAGCATATTACTCAATACTTACAGCAACAGTAGATACAGCTTTATCCCACGAAGAGGTGGTCGCGGTCGTAGTTTTTGATTTCGGAAGCATTTGTATTATGTCGACGTCTGGATCTTTAATGAGCGCCGTTATCAAGGTAAAGGCTTGTTTCATCGCTTCGGATGATCCCCTATAAGCAACAGACAATTTAGCTTTCGTTAGAAACTGAAATGTAATGTGTACACGTGGTAGTGTCCGATACCCACTTGATCGTGATGATTCTTTCTCCTTGGCTTTTGCTTTGCTTCTCAACTTCAATGTGCGCACCGGTTGCAGCCCTAATAGCGTTGATGTTGCTGCCACCTCTACCGATTACACGACTAATAGCATTTGGTGGTACGGATACCTTCTTGGAGCGGAATGGTGAATTCATAAATCTGCCGGAATCGTCGGATTGTCCTCTGCGAAAGTCACGCGATATAGCAGATTAATATATAAGCCATGAATGAAAACGATAACGGATGTGCTCTTTTCATTCTTAATAACGAGGGAAAGGAGCTCTACTCTCTGCACATAAGAACACATCTTACTTTCGTACAACCTCCTTCCAGCCTTCTTCGCGTTTTCCACCTTGCTTAGGACTTGTCGTGTTATTTGTCTTCGACGATGTGTTTAAGGTATCTCCGTCGTACTGATTGTTGTAAGATTTTTTTCCCTTTCCAGGAACATAAGTCTCGTTACCAGTTGCTTCAAAATCCTCTCTGTCGGCTGGATGTCTGGAAGATTCAAAGACCAACTGACCCTTCAGTTTTCGATCGGTACAATTGATCGTGGTGGAGGCTCTTGTGGTCGTGGCCGAAGTTGTACATACAGACATTCCGCTGGTAACGTTAGTCAGAATCCTTCTGTGGAAATCATTGGTCAGCGCATAAGATACACGATATCACGTAAATGAAATTGACATTTGTATGTTTCATTGTATCAATTGTATGTTAATTTAATTGTATCTTCCATACGAAAATGTATATTCATCCGCGTTTCTTTCGACGGTCAATCTTCCCGTTAGAAAATCAGAAAAGAAATAAAACGCAATACACGAGTGGACCCCGAAAGTAGAGAGAAGATGGGTCTACTTACTTATCCGAAGTACTTTGGGATTTAGTTGAGGTCGTTGAATTTTGAGATAATGCAGTGTTTTGTGTGAGAAGCGTTTTGGGTGAGCGCTGAGGGGACGTGTCTTTCTCATTGTTATTAGGATTATTACTCTTCTTCTTTTTCTTGTCCTTTTTCTTGTCTCGAGCCTTCACGTCGTTGCTACTGCAACTACCCTGGCTATTTGCATCGATTCCACTGTCACCCTCCTCCCGATCGGGATCCTCCGGACTTCTGTTCACGGGCGATGGTACGCTTTCTATTCTTTCGCAACCGTCGCCGCCTTCGTGTTCGCTGTCGTCTGCCCTGTCACATTCCTCGTCACCTGACTTCTTCCCGTTATCTTCTTTATCCTCGTAGGCTGTTTCGTTCTTCTTGTATTCCTCGTGCATTTTGCGTTTCTCCTCCTTTTTCTCCAGCTTCTTTTTTTTCTTCCTCTCTCGTCTTCGCGCCGCTGCTGCTTTTTTCGATTCCTCCCTGGTCTTTTCCATATCAAGTTCCTCCAACAGTATCGTGGCATTCTTATTTGCTTTAGCGGCCTGTGTCTCCTTAGCCGCTCTTATCACTTTAACACATTCCTGACACTTCTCAAGAAGTTCCTTGTCGCTGATGGTTGCTACGTATCTCGTCATTTCCTGATCGCTCGGAAATTGCGTTACATGATTCACCATCCACTTTACCACTTTGATGTGGCCCTTTCGGAATGCGGCCATTAAACAGGAAACCTGAGCATCGGAAAGATCGGAGTTGTTAACAACCGTCTACGAAGATTCTCAAAGTGAGAGAGACAACCAAGTAGACGCGTGGGACTTTTTACGCACGTACCTTGCGATTATCTTGCGAATCGATGTCCGCACCCGCATGGTACAGTAAATCTACAACATTGAGATGTCCACCATTTGCGGCTAACCACAACGGGCTATTCCCTTTCTTGTTCTTCACCTCGACTTGAGTTCCCCTAGAGACACACAATCATCGGTTTTATCCAGTTTCTATCAGATGTCCGTCAGAAATAATACAGCGAGTAGGTTACCTTGAAAGTAGAAGTTCAACGAAACGGCAGTGACCTTTATCAGCAGCGATGGTGAGAGCGGTGTCACGAGATGATGGGACCGGCGTCGCGTTGACATCTGCGCCCTTCGTAAGCAGTACTCGTCCAACTTCAACGTATCCACCACTCGCTGCCTCCATCAAAGGTGTGAGCCCAGTCTTTATGAAGCGAACGAACAATTTCAAGTTAGAGATTATCGGTGAGCATCGCGCGCGTTTCATATCGCTGGAATTATATTTCTCTACGTATTACCTTCGCTCGATGTTCGACATTGGCCTTTCGGTCAAGCAAAAGACTAACCACTTCGTGTCTTCCTTGGAAACACGCGAGCGTTAACGCTGTATTGCGATTCGTTTCGATCTGGGCGTTAATATCACTGCCCATGTCCAAGAGTAACTTCACTGCCGCTGTAAAGAGAATTATTCGGATGTTTATCACGCAGAAACCAAACCGTGTAAGGCTGAATTTCCCGATACGCACGAATAACTGTAACTGATTATCGCGAGTGCAGTTGACGGGTAATTTCATATCGACTAGTCGCTCACCGGTGTGGCCATTCATAGCAGCAAGCATCAGCGGAGAAATGCCCAACTTGGAGCCGGTGCGAGAATTTATTTCGGCACCGTGGTTAAGCAGGAGTTTTATTATATTCACATAGCCACCGGATGCCGCGAGACTCAATGGAGTGTAATCGGATACATTTCGATGTTCCTTGTTCGCGCCGCGATTGAGCAAGAGCTCGACCACTTCGTATCGGCCGCCACTGCACGCGAGCGACAACGGCGTGTCCTTGGTGCGTTCGGATTGCGCTTCTATGTCCGCCCCGTGATTTAGCAGTATCTCCACCACCTTTTGATGGCCAGCCGTTGCGGCCAGAATAAGAGGCGTGAATCCCTTTTTATCCCTATGCTCTGTAACAAAATCGTAGGTATTGGGCAAAATTATTGGTCAACTTTTATTTCTATTTGACACTCACCTATATCTGCGCCTCGGCTCAGCAAAAGTTCAACTAGATCCTCATGGCCACCTGCGCAAGCTAAAGTCAACGCAGTGTCATGGTTACTGTCCGTTTCCGAGTCAACGTCCATGCATGAGAAGGCCGCGGGTGGGACTTGATTGGTCGCGTAACCTCCAACTGCAAAGATATTTATTGTACATTGGCTGACATTTTGAGCGGCGAAATTGATCGACGGTCATTACGAGGCGTCTACATGCAGCAGCTATTGTACATTGGCTCTCACCTGCAGCCGGGTCCAGCTGATAGTTCTGGGCGGGAAAATTCGGAGTCGGTTGAGCATTGGCAGTTTGTGGTTGCTGGCAAGACTGCTGCTGGGACAAGACCGGGTATCTGGCTTTCTTGCCCTTGCCGGTGGTCGGCGCGGTGTATACTTGCTTCTTGTCGGGTGCGACGACGTTCGCCGCGGTGGTGGTGGCCGGCGCCTGGGTCTGGGTAGCGACCTGCACTTGATTGGTGCTGCAAGCTGTGGACTGTGCATATCCGCTCGACTGGTGAGGTATGCTATCTATTATCCCGGTCGCTCCGCTCACTGGTGGCAATGTTTGCGTGGGGAACGCTGGATAACGAGAACACGAAAGCGTAATCAGATGTCAACGTCGTGCAGGGGTGCAGCCGCGTGGTGCGCTAGTTGCACCAACGGCGTTTGCTAGACTTACTTATTTGAGAAGACTGCAGCAGCAACTGCGGCTGGAAAGTATCGCTGCTAATATGCTGCATACATTCGCGGAAGTGTATACTACCTTGACGAAAGCCTTCTTCAAAAGCTCTCAGACGATTCTTCAATGCCGGATTTTGTAAGGACTGTGTGCTCGTTAATTGCAAGCCAGTTGATATGTCTGCTTCTATCTGAACGCCAGAACTAGTCACTTGTAGCGATGGTAAAGTCGGCAGGGAGACTGATGGTACTGACAACACGGGACCGGTAAAATATTCTTGGGACGCATGAGGACTTCCACTTTGTTGAACTATTTGGGTGGTTTGCAAGTGTTGCTGCTGCTGCTGCTGCTGCTGTTGCTGCGGTTGTTGCTGCTGTTGCTGCGGGTGTTGTTGTTGCTCCTTATTGCCGGATACCTCCAATCTCTTCAATTCAAGTTTCTCTTGATCTTCTGTAGCTACACAAACGGAAAGCAATTCGGAAGATAACGCATACGATCGCCTCGAGAGTACTCTAGTTACATTTTAAAGAAAAAGCTCAAGAGATAAAATATTGACCATCTACAGCATCGTCGAAACTGATGGAGCGAAAAATTTCAAACGCATCATCGATCGGTATGTCAGTGCCGTCCTCCAATTTCAAGACTCTTTCGTTAGCGGAGAAGGTTTTAGATTTCTGAGCCCCGGTAAAAAATGCACAAGCGCTTTCTCTATACTTCCGCGCCAATTCGGGATCCGTTTGCTCGGGAAGATTTTCTTGCGGTGTTTGCTGTTGGGAATATATTGCAACGTGAGTAGGAACGTCGGCGACCTCAACAATTCAACGGCATGCTTACCTGGCTATGTAAGTGGTGAGTATGTGTAGGGTGTAAATGCGACATCAACTGAGTGGGCATGAGTATGCTACTCGCATTATTACCGACTACATTAGTTTGTTGCTGGGCCTGTTGCTGCTGAGGTTGCTGCGGTTGCGTCTGCGGTTGCTGCAGTTGTTGCTGCTGCTGTTGTTGTATCTACATCGACGAGACAAATTCGTTATGTCATGTCGTATCTCGCGTGTGTTGTGTATATAAAAACATGATCGCGCGTAGATGTTATACATGCTAACATCTCTCCCATGCATTCGCTTGCAAAATCTCCTTGGTGACATTTTATCCGACATGTATATATTCCTTTTAACTTGACGTCACTCAGGCAGGATATGTTACTACGTTATGCGATCTATTTAGCTTGCTATCTATTCTCAAGTAAGCTCGTGCTTGAAGGGATTCATCCCAGAGCTTCGAACAATAATAATATTGAATCTGACATGTTGTAAAACGTATAAAAACGAAGCGAAGTAAGGGGAGTAGAAGTCCACCTGTACTTGGTCTAGCTGGAGTTGCAACTGCTGATTAAGTTGCTGCAATTGATGAACCTGTTGTACTTGATAGGTATGTTGACGTTGCTTCTGTTGATATTGCTGCTGAAGTCCGGCCATCAGGCTTGCCTGCGTCTGCTGCAACTTAGCCACCGCCATACCGCTCGCTGCTTTTCGCACGTTTTTGCCTTCCTTCTTAGACACTGGCTTAGCCTTCGGGCGGTCGCTTATAGCAGTGTTCTGGCTAACGTCGCTGCTCGCGGTAATAGGCTGGGAAACAGCTATAACAGTCGGAGGAGTGGAGATACTCGGCGGGCTCGGCGTGGTGGTTGAGGACGTGTTGGAGGTAACCAACGAAACGGCAGTCGTGGCAGGTAGTGGAGCGAGTGTCAAGGGTGGCGACGAGGGAAATGTATTCGTGGGGAACGTCTCCGCCGCGGTCGGAGCTACGGATAATGTTTTTTGAAACTGCTGCAGTCCCATTATCTTGCCGTCGAGATAAGCACTGCAGACCAACGCCGCATCGCTAGTTCCTTGGTATGTCAACGAGGTGCCAGACATACCGGTGGTACTGCACACTAGACCTGTTGAACGAAACAGTCACCAGTTCAAGACACACGTATCGTTAACCGTGGACGCATATACGCGTTCGAGGAACGTCCACCGGCGGCGGGATTACGGACGCATATATATTTGTCCTGCTAATTTCCACAGCTTATACGAGAGAGCTTATTAGCTCTCAAATATTCTGCACTCAAAAGATTAACTTTGATGTGACAATATAATGCGATGAAAATGTACCATGCGGAGATGTCGCCGACTGAGTTGGTAAATCAATGTTCAACATTCCAGGTAATAATGCTTCTGCTTCTGTAGGATCCTGCTGCTGGGTTTGCTGTTGAGGTTGATTTATTATGGAATTTCGTGGACCAGAAAACAAATGTCCCGCACCCTTGCTCTGCAATTCCCGCTCTACCCTCTGAAAAGGATAAATTCTAGAATTAGGAAAAAAAAAAATTATACATGCAACAGCGCATAAAGCAGACAATCGTGATTATTGTGATAAGCTGCGCATTAAATGTTTATATATCTCTTATCTTAACCGCTAATATGCTTAATCACGTCAATAATTTCTGTCTTTTATTATTTCCTCTTTAAAAAAGTTGATGAAAAGACGTTAACGAAGAGAAAATAACGTAGGACGTACTTGTAGTTCTTCAAGTATTTGTTGCTTATGAAGGATTTGTTCTTGTCTAGTATTTTTCCGACTTTCGGTGACATTTACCCCTTGCGTTGACGCTGAAGTTGGGCTAAGGCTAATATTGGGTTCTGATAGACTCGTGAACCCTCCGCTGCCTTTATCGAGGATATTGGTATCATCCTTGGTAGTAGCAACAGATTCTCCTGCGGGCTGCGAACGAACTTGTTGCGCTTCGGCTGAGGTAAGGCTCATGTCGGGCATCATGGTCACAGATCGATTTTTCCTTAACAATGACTTTTGCGTATTATGTTTAGGTTGGAGATTTTGCGCTTGTTGTTGCTCTGCAGTTTGCTGCTGCTGCTGCTGCTGCTGCTGCGGGTGTTGCTGCTGAGGTTGCGCGGACGTTTGCGGATGAGGTACATGTTGCTGATGACTTATATGTTGCTGATGCTGCGACTGCTGTTGCTGTTGCGGCTGCTGCTGCTGCTGCTGCTGCTGCTGCGGCGGCGGTGGTTGTTGTTGTTGTTGTTGTTGTTGTTGTTGTTGCTGCTGTTGTTGTTGCGGTAATAACATAGGAGCAGGTGCGCCATTGTGCGGCGCGCCCATCATAATGCTATGAGGATAATCCAATAGGAGTTGCACAACAGCCGTATGACCACCCTTTGCTGCTTCAATCAGCATGGTGGAGTTATCCTACAATGTATTTTGTTGCATGTATCAATTTCATATTTCTATAGTGTTTGTAAGAACACAATACCGATAAAAAATTACAAGATTTGACACGACGTAGAGATGATATGTTACATATTATTCTGTTATCGATATTGTGGTTAGAGTTTTTTTTTATTTGAATTTACTTATCTGAATATGTAATTGCACAATGAGCACACAATTACGTGAAAATGAAAACTTGCATACGAGAGTAGTGTCATTTCAAACACGTGGGCTTACCTTCAATTTATGAAACGGATTAGCCGATTGCGCCAAGAGTAGTTCGACAACAGCAATATGACCACCAGCACACGCCAGTGAAAGAGGAGTATGGTCATTGTTCGTAGTCTGCCGATTGACATCAGCACGCTTTGAGATGAGGAATTGAACTGTACACAAATGACCAGCCCTACAGGCTTTCATGAGCGGAGTCCTACCTCCCTCCGATTCGTGTTCCTACAAGAAAAAAAAAAAAAAAAAAAAAAAAGAGTAATACAGGTAATCTGTGTATTTTGCAAGAGTTGATCAAAGTGAAAAGCAATTTAAAGAGAACTTTCGCACAAACTTTGTACGATTAAGACTCGTAGTTATCAAAAACACAACATACCAGATCAGCTCCATATTGAAGTAGGAGATCAGCAACGTCAGTATGGCCATTTTCACAGGCATACGTTAACGCTGTATCTCCCGTTTGCGTTTGAGCGTGAACGTCCGACGTCGACTCTAGCAAATATCGAACAAGATCTAAGTGTCCTTCTTGGGCAGCTTCCATTAGAGGGGTGGATGCTCCCAATTCGACGTCAGCGCCCGCTTTGATTAAAAAATCAGCTACTTCAAGGAAACCGCCGCAGCAAGCCAATGTAAGTGCCGTCTCCTGAGTTTCCTCAGTTTGTGCATTGATGTTTGCACCTGTGTGAAAGGAAGCTCGTAAAGTAACAAATCTAACGATCATACAAATAAGATGACCTACCTTGACTTAAAAGTAACGCAACCATTTCCTCGTGGCCCTCGCGTGCTGCCTCCATCAAAGGCGTGTAACCTTCGTCATTAACTTCTTCGATGTTTGCACCGCGTTCGATGAGAAGCATCGCTAGGTCCACGTGACCTCCGCAAGCTGCTAATGTCAATGGAGACTCAAAACTATCGGTCGGCATATTTACTTGGGCACCTGAGTCTAAAAGTAAACGTGCCACTTCTACATGACCATCCATCGACGCTTCCATAAGCGCTGTATGCATCTCATCCGTTTTATGTTCCTGCAACAATTCATGAAGATATCCGTCAAACCTTCGAAAAATCAGATAAAATGTTTATCCGCTATTTCTCCACCCCCCCTCTTCTTTTTTCTCTTTCTCTCTCTCTCTCTCTCTCTCTCTCTCTCTCTCTCTCTCTCTCTCTCTCTCCATAGCACAGACGTGATATTCGCAAAAATATTAATTACATTTGCGTAAAAAATGATATTAGGTAATTATACCTGATCTGCGCCAGCTTCCAATAAAAATCGAACCATCTCTAAGTGTCCTTTATAACAGGCCAATGTTAGGGCAGATTCTTTAAATTCATTGGAATGAGTGTTGATACCAGCACCATGTTCCAGCAAGATCTTGGCAACTGGAACATGTCCGGCACTTGCTGCTTCCATCAAAGGTGTATGGCCGTTCTCATTATGATCTTCAACGTTAGCTCCTGCTTCCAAAAGGACACGTACTACTTCCTCATGACCACCAGCACACCCATACATGAGAGGTGTATTGCCTACAATTATACAACACAATTGTTTCGATCGTTTTCGAGCAATGTAGCGTTCACGTCATTATGAAAGTTCATGCACACGTTCGCGAGAAATTAAATACACCAATCAAGTAGGTGTTATATAAAGTTGATATATATATGTATGTGTGTAAAGAACTAGCGTGTAATTTTACCCGAAGTCGACTGAGCATTGACATCGGCACCATGAGCGATAAGTAAGCTCACGATATCCACATGTCCAGCACTGGCAGCCTCCATCAAAGGGGTGCAATCCCCTTTAATACCACGATCTTCCACGTTAGCATTCATTGCTAATAGAACCTGTTTCACAGAAAGATTCGTTGAAATACACGGTTTTCATCAGCCTATAAAACTAATTTCGGTTTAATTTTCCTATTTTCTGATTATATTTTTGTAACACCAACTTCATGTCATTTATAAATGTGACAGTTAAATAAACAAAAGAAAGAAGTTGAAACATAACATAGGTCCGTTTTTTATAGTTGCACTAAGTCCGTCTCACCATCTATATTTAAAATAAAGTAACTCATTTGATGCTGATGTAAGAAAGAAAGGAAAATAGAAAAACCAGGCAGATAGTCCTAAGATTGTCGGATGTAAAAAACAGACTTAATATTAACAGGTATAAAATTATGTAGCTGGTAGACGAAATTTTCATTATACAGATCTTGATCATTTATCCAAGCAATTAAATACTGATAATTTTAATTAATTTGATACAAATTGTCGACTATCATATCCTGTAATTACATAAAAGTAACTGCAGGTAAGTTTCATTATAAATATTAGTTCTCTAAAAAACCTATACTTATTTCTTGAGATTTATCACCATTTCAAGCAACAACTGTTATTTATTGATGATTTTTATGACATATTCAAATGATATAATATTATATACACATATGCTAATAGAGTTCATTGAATTTCATATTATACATACAAAGTCAATTTGGAATAAGATAACCATTACATTGTAATTTAAAATAGATTGTGAGATAAACAGTACAAATTTTCAAAGAGAGACATTGAGTAATTTTAATATAAATGAATTATTCTTTTTTTCTATCATAGATAATAAAGAACTGCTGTGCCAATTTGTTATTATTCACTCAAAGTCACTCAAAATAGATCGTTGTTAATGCACCAACCAACTGCTCATACAAATATGTCAAACATAACAATATTACATATTGCGAACCAAGTGAAATATATTACAAAATTTACACAACAAAATGGTGAAAAAGATTCTCTTTTCTATTATATTCACAACTGATATATAAATTTCTAACTTATAAACTTGTATAAACTTATAACTCGACAAATTCACACGAAATAAAGCTTCATTTGTTACACACATTGCCACAAACATTGCATGTTAAACGTGTGTACTGGGAATTACTTAACCACACGTATAACAGTTACATACATCATGCACTTGGCAATGTTATCTTGCAAATCATCATCATAATTTTGCCTGAATTCGCACAGATAGCACCTTTGTGCAAGTTTACATAAAGAGAGCATAAATATATTTGACCCAAACCTGAGCAAGTTCGTAGTAACCCGCTGAGCAAGCCAAGGAGAGTAAGCTCTCTCCCTCCTCGGTAGTTTCGTGAACACTCCGTCCTTCTGTTAACAATTTTCTAACGGTACCGACGTCACCGTCGGTACACGCCTCTATAAGAGTGCGCTTTTCGTTAGGTGTGCGTGGATTGTCACTGCGCATACGTGTTAATGCTGCTGCCGCTTCATCCAATGCACAAGAAACACTAGATGTTAAACGTCGAAGCACTTCGTGGTCGGCCAAGTGCTTCCCATCACCCGATGACAATTTCCCGATACCAGCCGCCTCGAGGAGGGCCTCGAGACGCGCTTGAGTCTCAGGATCCACAGAACGTTCCGTATCTTCAGGTGTCAACAGAAATTTAGATGTCTCTGGATGATCTTCGTCTATCTCAACTTGATCAATTGCAAAACACTCCACCTAAAATCACATAAAGCACATCTGTGAGTAAAACTGGACACACAAGACACAACAATGTATAATTGAACTGGCTGTAGACCTCGCGCTTTGTCTATTCACTGATCCATCATGTGTTGGATCTCGTATTACAAGCATTCAGCCAATTTCATTTAACATATACGTGTAAGATAAAAATATCTACAATTTGATAAACTATCAACAGCACTCTGTTACGACATTGATGGTTCTTACAGAACCTCTGTTTCCTTCGTGGACACTCTTATTTGCATTGTATGCGAATCGTACATACAAAAATGGTTAAAAAAAGAAAGGAACAGATTAGATAACAATATAACGTATGTTTCTCAATGCCTTAGTCGTAAATTCGCACACAAGCTGCTCTACGAAGAGAGTGTATCCGTATCCTTTATCGAAAAACTTCCAACTCGACAAGAAATGTTATGTATCGCTGAGTCACTTGTTTAACGAGCAACATGCGATCAACGATACCCAACATAAAACGCTTCATCGAGGAGGCCTATCGAGAGAGACAAGATCCCTGAAAAAGGTACTAATGAGAGCTCCTCGTCGTGCGGCGTGTCCGCGACAAGAAGGACCGCGAGAAATTGAGGTTATTTTCGCACAGAGTCGAGTTACCGGGAACGTCGGCGGCGACGGCGGTGACGGCGGCGACGACGGCGGCGGTGGTGGCGGCGGCATCGTAGATCGACTTCGTCGAACAAAGGCGTGTATAAATCACGAGGCGCGCGTCACCGAGAGAGCGAGAGATGTCGAAAATCGAATCGTTGCTCATGAAACTACCAGAAGCTACTATCGGAGAGCGGAGGTGCCACGCTCTCGCTCTCTCTCTCTCTTTCTCTCTCTCTCGCACGCGTATATACTACAACGTACTTCAACGCATTATATCCGGAAAGTCCTCTACGTTCCACGCGGAACACGACTGATCGGCGCGGCCGCGAGGGCGATCACGAACGTGAGACAATCAACATAGATCGGGAACGCGGGTGAAAGCATAGTCGCGCGTATATATTTTCCAACACGATCACGTCTGGGTCGCGTGGTAGAACAATAAGCAACGAACGGACGTTCCAACGACGGCACTGACACTTACCACGCGACCGGTGAACTCCGCGTACTCGCGTAACTACACATCGCGCGTCGCCCTGCCGTTTTCGAGTCACCGAGTGTGAAGGCGTACACTCGCGTCGGGAATGCGCTCTCGTCCGTTGCTCCCGAGACACACGATGACGACAATCGCGACGACAGCGACGACGACGACGACGACGACGACGACGACGACGACGACAATGACGATGGCAAGAACGACAACGATATGACGACGACGACGACACGAAGGAAGACAACGATGAGATGCGTCCGAGATTCACCCTTCACCTCCTCCTCCCCCGCCGTCGCTGACCACGATTATGTTCGACGCATAAGAAGCACTGAGAACCTTTAACACACGAGTCTCACGAAGAAGCGACGAGGCCGTAAAAGCGCCGTTGGTAGGACATAGAATAATATGGTGGCTCTGTTCTCCGCGATCGTTTCCACGCACACATCGAGAGCAGCAGGCGGCTACACACGGCGGGGACGCGGAGCGCCACGACGACAGCGTACGAACGGCCAGTCAGGCGAGAGAGCGATCGGGCTGGTTAGCTTTGCGACGAACTGGCGGATCACATGGTGATGCGTTGGCTCGGAAATCGACTGCGAAGCAGCCAGCAAACTCGCAAGTGAGCGAGCGAGCGACAAGAACGCGAAAGACGTACGGAAAGCCCGCTGGGTGGCGCACTGACGACAGTGCGAGAGAGCGAGTGAGAGGGAGAGAATGAGCGAGTGAGTGAGCGAGCGAGCGAGCGAGCGAGCGACAAACGCAAGCAGGCAGACAGACACGCTCTCGTAGAGGCGTGCTCGCGCATCGCGCTACATACACATGCGTGTACGCATACGTAGCTGTGTATACGCACGTGCGCGCACTGTCGCGTGTACACGTGTGTAACGAACCATGCATGCATATATATATATATAAATATATATACATATATTGTATATATATAAATATGTGTGCTGCATGTATAGACGTATATGTGTTACACGTGATACGTGTTTCCGATCCTTGGGGTATTCACTCACCTTACGCATACACGCAGGTACGCACGCATACTTACACGACGATGCATGTACCGCTTCTAGTGAGAGCGAAGTGCCTGAACCAGCGCTTCGAGAGGGAGGGAGACCAGAGACAGCAGCGACATGCTCGCGTGTTCTACGTGCGCGCGCGCAGGCGCGCGCGCGCACACACACACACACACACACACACTCATAGAGCGTACGCGTTACGTCGTATTCTCATTCTTTCTTTCCCTTCTCTCATTCTCTCTCTCTCTCTCTCTTACTCGCTCGGTCCCTTTTTCATTCTTTCTCACTCTCGCGAAACACGCGACGATGCCAGGATGGGAACGAGAGGAGTATTCGAATCGTGCACCTCGACGACGACGACGACGGCGGCAGCGCCGCCGCCGTGCGGCAGCGGGTCGCGCTGCTCTCATAAATGTCGAGGAGGAACGAAGGTACGACCATCGTCGTATGCACACTGTCTCACACTGTGGCGGAAGAAAGAAGGCGCTACAGACTTGGGAGAAAAGCGTGTGACCTGTGTGGAGTGGAGGGGTGAGAGGGCGAAGATGTGAGGAAGGACGGCGGTGGGTGGGACGGAGGAAGGACGAAATTGCTCGCGCGATTCGCAATAGAGTTAGACGTGCAGATATATGCGCAAGCGAGAGAGAGAGAGAGAGAGAGAGAGAGGAGAAAAAGAGGGACATGGGTATGCTAGTGATGTCGGCGACGTCGTTTCCACGGTAGACAGCTATTAAAACATATATACACACATACCGATTATATAACTTTTCCTCAATGCGCGGAGATTCCCCGTTTTCCTCCTCTTCCTCCCTTACGGCCTCTAACTTTCTTCGTCTCTCCCTCTCTCTCTCTCTCTCTCCTCTTTCCACCTTTATCCCTTTATTCCTCCGTGCTAAGAGCACGCAAGAGTTGCCATCTACGTGCACGTACCTCTAGCCGGCATCTAGCGAGGTATGTAGGGAAGACACCTAGTGAGCGGTGTCAAATTGAACGGACACGAGCGACGATAAAAGGTACAAAGAGAAGGCGCGTCCAGGGCTTTTCTGCTAAATCGCGGACTCTCACGAGCGATCTCTCATCAACGTCGATGCGTGTCGCAATTAAGCGAATATTGTCCGTTTCGGTCGGTCGATGCGTCCCCGTTGCGATCGAAGCGATAGAAAACGCCAGAAGCAGGATGTCCCCGTTACTTCGAGAACGAGGAACGAAGGAGAGAAGAAACGAGCCGCAGAAAGCACGAGCGTCAGGCACAATTCGGAAAAAGTTTCACTTTCAGGAAGGCCTGGAATTTTCCCTTCGAGAGAGGTATGCAGACGCAACCGACGGCCAATGAGAGGTCCGAGCCACCTGGGAATCGCTCTGAAAAAACGAACTCTCCAATTGGACGTTGACCGAAGTGTCTGGAAATTTCTCGGAGAAGAAGAAAAAGCGCTGGAACGTGTCGTCGACGCGTGTCCGAAGCGGCGGATGAATCGATCGCAAAGTCGACGGACGTCGTCGATCTCGAACGATCGATCCGGATGAAATTTCAATTGGAGAGATACAAGCGAGATTGTTCCGGCTCGGCGTTTGACGCTCTCCGTGCACCTCCGGATTACAATCCTATATAATCAAAGTGAACGAGCGAAGTGAAGCTGAGAGAGAGAGAGAGAGAGAGAGAGAGAGAGAGAGAGAGAGAGAGAGAGAGAGAGAGAGAGAGAGAGAGAGAGCCACGGCCTTGGTCCCGATTGCATTTCAATTAATTCATCCCGAGTCGGGACGGTCCGACGTCCTTTACTTTATTTATCATGCGAATAGGCGACGGAAAAATCGAATCCTCGGCGTCTCAATCGCCGAGCCTGAAAAAATCATTATTATCCTGCGCGACCTTTCTTGGACCACGATCCTACCTACCAATGCCCAGAAAATTCAGCGCATTAACCCGATTAAAAGTCCGAGCTGAGTTACATTTGAATGGCGACTCCGGGACTTTGCGCCGACGAGCGATCTATTAAAGGGCGAGATATCCTCGAGATCGAGAAAACAGGGGAGGAAAAAGAAAAAGAGGAGCGAGGAGCTTCGATCTCGATTTTTCAGCGTCTCAATTTCGTCTAGTCTGGCGAGACTCGACGTTCCGCCGTTCCATAGATCACATTTTCTCCTGACGCACGACCGCACGAGAAAAACCGAGGCGGCAGGGTTGGATGGCGGGGGGGGGGGGAGGGGGAGGGTAGACACCGCCAATCGCCGATTAACAGAAGTCCGGATGTTAGTCACGACTTTGCGTCAGCGCGCAGCGATCTCAAAGCGAGGAGATTCAGGTTAATGGTTAAGCGCCGATTTCGAGGTTATGAATCTCCTACGACTGCAGGGACGACGACTGCGGGGAAGGCGAACGAGGTTAAAGAGCGGGGTTAGCGTTAATCGACGCGAGCACAGCCGGACTTCGACATCGACCGAGTATGTCTGAGATGAATTCAGTCTAGATCGGCGACTCGATAGCCCTCTCCGGACATTACGGGCCTGACTGACACAACGTGCATAGACGGGAAAAGCTCAGTTGGGCTTAGCACTGATGACGAGAGAGCAGACTTCTCTTCTCTCTCTCTCTCTCTCTCTCAGCATCCGATCGCACCGTCCGTCTAAATCGGCTAATCGGCCGTCTTATCGTGTTCTTTTTGTTTATGCTCAAGTCCGCCCGACATGTCGGCTGCCGTTCTAATGTTATGACTCCTACGATGAACTCCTCGGCTCTCAAGAGGAAGCCTTTGTCTGCGACCCGGGGAAAAAAATGGTCAGCCCCCAGTGTCCGACGCAATCGTATCGCGTAGAGCATTTTCGGCCGGAACGAATCTAGATCGTTTCTCGACAGCGCGGTGTGTTCTCTTCCGCTTCGCGCGTGTGTCGAAGTAGTCGACGATGCGGGGGAACAGCAGGAACTTCTTCCGATTCCGAGGTGGGTTTCCAGCTCGACGGCACCGCGCGTTCGGATGTCGCAGGGTTCTCGAACCATTTTCTTCTTCACCGACCAGCTCAACGTTCCCTGATAGCACATGTTCTCCTGGGGACGTCCTGAGGGGATGAAGAAACATCCCCAGAACGTCCTCAAGACGTACTCTGGACGTCCTCCGGACATCTGTGCTATTAGGGCTGTGAGTGTGAGTAATCATTTAGTTGGTTAAATGTTTGGATTTTATTCGTACGCTCGCACACATTTTCTCTCTGGGGAAACATTTTGCTATCATTGGATTGTCAGACTCTACGTTGCGACTCCACGAGCATCCGGACACAATGCGCGTTCGACCCGGAAACCGAGCCGGAACTGGGAAGCACCGTCGACACCTCGGGTGTATGAACGTTCGAGATGCTCCGATCAATGCGTCGATTCACGAAACGTCGTCTTGGTCCTTCGAGAAGTCCAGCTGTGGCTGTTTTTTTTTATCGGTCAACAGTACCCGTACCAACCTCGCGCGCTGTAATGATGACAACGACGGCGATGAGACAGAGAAGAATCGTCATTGCTTTCTCCGTTTGACGAGTACTCTGTTCTACTCTCGTGTACACCGTATATACACCGCGATGCACGCGCGAATATATACGCATACACACATACACGCGGTATCCGCTGCGATATGTGCACACACACACACACACACACACATACACATACACACACAGGCGTACGCACAATGCGTACAATCATGCGTGGTCGCGCATATTCATATGCGTTCACACGTAGATCGTTACGATCGACCTCGAGTAACGAGTGCGTGCACGCGTCTAATATCGTTAATTAATTAATTAATTAATCGCCAATAGATACGAGAAGGCGTTAGCAGAGACACACCGTTGTCGAGAAAGTCTGCGCGAGAAACGGCCGAGGTGTACAAGAGAGGCTGCTCTCGACGAAGCTTCCACAAGTTTGACACTACCGATTCACGAGGGTCAGGGTGGGGGAAGGCTCATTGAGCGTTCCTAAACATGTATGTCGTTCATCAGGCCGCGAAAGACCGCGGCAATGACAACGGTGACGATGACAAAGAGGAGAAACTAGACGAATCGAAAGTGGGAAGACGTCGAGGGTGCCTACAACAATGTGGATGGAGGCTATGTCGACGATGACGATGACGATGACAATGACAACGATGATGATGATGAGGGCGATGACGACGATAACGATAAAACGGCGACGACGATGACGACAAGGGGGAGGAACGAGGATCGATGCTCGTGCGAAATTATCTTCACGGCTCATTCTCGCAGAAGCATATTTGCGATACTCTGCTCGATTCACAGGAACGACACTTAGTCGACACCACGCTCGTGTACACACATTTATATACATATACACACACACACATACGTATCGCACGACAGGCGCACAGTATAGACATAAATATCCCCTCTCTCTATCGCTCACTCGCATACGTATGACACACACATACACACACACACATATATATACTCTCTCTCTCTCTCTCTCTCTCTCTCTCTCTCTCTCTCTCTCTCTCTCTCTCCTCCCCTTTCTCTCTCTCTCTCTTTCTCTCCCTCCCTCTCTCTCTCCTCTCTCTCTCTCTCTCTCTCGCTTTTTCTCAATCTTTCTTTCTACCTCACTCGCTCCTTTCTCTCTCTCTCTCTCTCTCTCTCTCTTTCTCTCGCCCTCACATTCTTCGCTCTACCCATGCTCACGGATATCTTATCACGTCGCGTTAACGGACCTCGCTTATGGCGTTTACCTCGGAAACGCTGTCTTCCTCGCTCTCCGACGAGTCTGTCATAAAGCGCGGTTGCAGCTCCGAGAAGGTCTCTGTCTCCGACTTCGTAGGGCTTGAATTCGAAGACTGGGGAGTCGACGACGTTTTTCCGATATCGTGGGGAACGCTCGCTGCTGCCGTAGCCGCTACTGCTGGCTGCTTTTCGTGCTTCTGGCTATCCGAGGTCGTTCCTTGTGCTACATTCTGCATCTTTACCCTCCAGATAAATCATATGATACACAGTTACTCCGTTACTGGTATGCCCGTACCGCAAAACACACACAGTACACTCATTCGCTCGAGACGTTTCGGCAAGAAATTGCTCTCGAGAGCACAGTCGCCGTCATTCACGTAAGCTAACACCCGCCATTTCCACTATGGCCGACTGCGATAGTCCCGGATGCTTCGACTCGCGACCAGTGATGCCAGAATGGAGAGGCAGCGACGTTTCTAGTAATTTACTACACGCGTGCGATCCATCACGAAAATCACACACGATATTGTACGCCGTTTACTTGAGATTAATATTTTATTTGTCGGCTGATTAGTTTATTAGCATATTGTCCATCAGATAGAGAATTTATAGTCCTAACAGGAAGGATGCTAGAGAATTTGAGAATCCTCTAGCCGACAGCCAATCAACGCACTCTACAAACTTGCATAAAATATGAAATATCTTTTTTAGTCTAAGAATTATATATTTAACTTTTTAAATACGACTGTAAAAAATATTGTACGAGATGTATTGCTACTTTCTTGAATAATGAATAGCTAGACATTTGGTAAATTTTAAAACTATTAAGCTGGGTCTAAAATGGGTGCAGCAAGTTTTAAGCCGTAAGAAATTGACGAATCACAACTGACTATTTTTCTCATATTCGACTGTGGTTGGTCAATTTTTCACGGCTTAAAGCTTACTCCATTTATCATAAATCCAGCCTTATGTTAGCTATGTATATATATATACTACATACCCACATATATATATATATAGATTTAAATTATATTTTCAATATAAAGAGTTCTATGAGTTCCAGTTCTACGAACTAAGGAAAATATATAGAAAACAGTCGATTATTCTCGATGCTTTCAATAAAAAAAAATCGATTATATAAAATCGATACTTTCGATAATCGATTACTTAGCAGACTTTTTTTTACGATGTCCACCCCTTGTACGTATGCAGCAATGTAATAATGCAAAATGAAAGGCAATAATGCTATGGAGACACAGTTCCGCATAAATTGTAATGTAGAAAGGAACATACACAATCGAAAAACACGTATATGTCCACTTCAGCTGCCAACATTTATGCATTTTTGCAATTATAATAGGAGAAAAGAACAATATCTATAATTTGGAAACTGTTTGATGTTCCAGGGGAATTTGTTCTTATCAGTCCGGCTTTAATGTCGATACGGTGCAAGAGAAGAAACACATTACAAATTATTATTATAAGTGCTTAATCGTCTTTCTTCGTATCGGTTTTACCGCCTCTTATTCTTCCAGTACGGCGAGCAGCAATCAAACCAATCTTGCGACCAGCACTGGTTCCTCTTTTAACAGTGGATGCCTTACCAATGTGTTGATGGTTACCGCCACCATGTGGATGCTCTACTGGATTCATCGCAACACCACGAACCTAAAAAGATTGAAATGTTTCAGACGCTGCATACAAATTTCATTCAGTATATCACAGCATGTCACTACAGAATATCTTATTATAAAAAGATGTGATGGGAGGAAAATAAAATGTACCTTAGGCCAGCAATTTCTCTTTGCCTTATACTTGTGGTATGCTCGACCAGCTTTGAGAATAGGTTTGTCTATTCTCCCACCACCAGCAACAATCCCAACCATTGCCCTATTATTGGATGGGATCACTTTTTTTGCACCAGAAGGTAGCTTAACTCTGGTTTTCTTTGTATCTGGGTTATGAGCAATTACTGTAGCATAATTGCCCGAAGCTCGAGCTAAACGACCTCTATCGCCGGTTTTTTCTTCCAAATTACAAACAATTGTACCTTCTGGCATAGTGCCAACTGGCATTACATTTCCAATTTGAAGGTTAGCTAGAAACAGAAAATTGAAAATAATGAAAGAAAACAAATGCAATATAATAAATTAAATTTGTTAAACGAACCAATTTTATATCATTGTCCAATATTCAATAGTTAGATTAAAGAATTATCACTGCGCATACCTTTCTTTCCACAATACAGGAATTGTCCTGTATACATGCCTTCTGGAGCAATAAACAATTCTTTGCGTGTTTTAAATTTATAAGGATCACGAAAATGTACCACTGCTAATGGTGCCCCACGACCAGGATCATGAATGATATCCTAATCAGAAACAATAATTTTATCGCTGATTATTTAAGAAAAAATCTTTTATAAAAAGACAAACATCTCCAGAAAGAACCTCCAATAAGTCTTCAAATAATCAGATTTGGAATCGTTGTATAAACAAAGTGAATTGAATTTATAGCAAGATTAAGTTGTAATAACGTTGATATATCAAAACACAAGTAGAGAAAAGATTGTTACAAACCTTAACGACACCCTTGATATATCCGTGTCTCTCGGAAAAGTCCAAGGAACGCAATTTCGGTGCTCCTTTTCTCCTCTTGGTATGGGATCGGAACACAGATCCCGCACCTTTACGCTGTGCACGAATTACTCGACCCATGATAATTTACAATCTACAAACAGAAGTATTAAATATCAGTCTGGATGAGCTTTTCGATACATATAACACACCGTATACAACATGTATTGATGCCGATATAATCTTAAATGCTAAGTTTACGTCTTAAAATTCACAAAAATAATGAACGTATCTCAGGCACAAAGAATAGAGAATATATAATTTAGGTTTTTTAGATGGATTTATTTGGTACCAATAAATAAAAGCAAATATTCCGCAACAATAAAATCGCTTTATTTACCAGTAGAGTCCACGTTGAGTATGTTCGTAAAAAAAAGAAAAAAAGCAGACCATATGGCTGCGTTCCAATATTCACTGCAATTCAGCAGTGCAGACAAAACGAACAGGCTCAATGGGTCTGTTCTTTTTAACTGTACTGCTAAACCGGTGCAATAAGTTAGAGTGAGAAAAAATATAGTTGTCTTACTCTAACTTGTTGCACTAGTTCAGTAGTGCAATAAGTTAGAATGAGACAACTATATTTTTTCCCACTTTAACTTATTGCACCGGTTCAGTAGTGCAGCTAAAAAGAACAGACCAATTATCTCGTCGGTGACTGTACTCTCTAGGTATCAAGGTTCGTCTACAATAGCTGTAAGAGTAAGGCTGTAAGGTTGTAACGTAAGCTGTCAGCGAATGAAAATATTTCATTTCGTGTCTTGCAACCTTACAGCCTTACTCTTACAGCTAATGTAGACGAGCCTGCACGAATTTTTTCCTCTTACTCGTGAACTCGTGAAAAATTTTTAATGTAAAAGTATATGGGAATGTTCACTTTTCTCGAATTTACGTTAAAGCAAATGAGCACAAATAGACTCGGGTCAAAATTATGTGTGTTTACGATATTGAGATCAGAGCGAGTGAGATCTGAATCTGAGAGAATAGAACATATCCCCATCTATACTAATATATTCTATGGCTGCTCTTGCTCTGCTCTGTACTGTTAAGCCCTAAACACAACGCCAGGCAACAGGCAATAAGAATAAAAATAGATTCAATCACAATAGATTATTCTTGTAATAGTCGACCAATAATCTTATCTATAAAATATATAGTATATGAGAACATTTTTATATAATAATTGCAATGAAAATAGGAATAAAAATATTAAGTTATTAAATATATAGGAGTGCTATTGAGCTAGTATGAGATAATTTTTCGTATTCTTATATCTATATATATATATGTAAAATATTTGTTTCTGTTACAACTCTCTATATTCTGTTGAAGCTCTTTATCTCTTTTGGAAAATCCCCCTTCAAAAACTGTTCTGTCGTTCAAAACGACCGTTGGGAATGACGAAATGGTTCGACGGTCGGAACAGTCGTCAGTAGAGCAAGCAGCGATGTGCGTTTTACTAGCAGAATACAGAGCACTTCGGTGATCATATTTAAATTACATATATCATAACAATGTCAGAGAATCCTTCAACAAGTAAAATAGTTGATGTAGAATCGCTAGAAGAAAGATCTTTTGAAGATGAAGATTTTAAAGGTGAATTCACTAATGCTCTCGTATATGCGAATTCCATATACAAGAGTAATAAATTATTATCGAAAAATCCTCCAGCGAAAATTAGTTCTGTGTCGATAGCCATGGCAAATAGCATTTCTAATGCTGTCATCGATATTTTAAACAACAGTTATGTCATGGTGGACGAAGATCTCATTCTAAATGATGATAGCGATAGTGAAAATCTATACGAAGAGGTATGTTTCTTTGATTTTAATGTTACTTTAATGTTAGAAGTGAAAGAAGCTGCAAATTATATTTTACATCTTGATAGTGCACAGACGATCCAACGACAGATGCAGACTACAATCCATCAGATTATGCAGAGCCTCCTAGAGACTACATTCCTTTAGAGTATAAAGCAAAAATCGTTGCTCTTGCTGAAGCACATCCACATTGGAATTTAAAGACACTGCAAAAACAAGGTGGAAGTCGTTTAAAAAGAAAAGATTATTTAATCCAATGGAAGAAAGATGTGAAGAGTGGAGGAACGCGAGTAGATAAATGGCAAACAATTGACAATGAAACTTTTGAACGTTTTCGAGAAGCAAGAAGCTGTTATGAGCAGGTAAAGCAAGAAAAATATATTAGAATCTCAAACATACACATATAACGTAATACATTTATGTATGTACCAATGCATGTAATAATAAATATTTGCAGGTAACAACAAGAACACTGCAACAATGGGCATTAATAGCAGCTTCTCCTTTTCAATCGGACACGTTTTCGTTCGATGCTAGTTCTACCTGGGTAAAAGCTTTTAAACGGAAACATAGAATAAAACAGCATAAGATAACAAAGTATGTTAGCCGAAGAGAGATCGCTACTCCAGAAGAAACCATGGAAGCAGCACAAAGATTCCAGATACAAACGAGAAACATTATTCCTAATTTCAATTTGAATTTCGTAATCGGTACCGATCAAACGAGGTGCAATTATCAAACAACGTACAATAGATCACTCGAATTTAAAGAAGTAAAGACAGTGTTCTTGAAAAAGCAAAGTTTAAATAAAATTACACATTCGTATACGGCACAGTATAGCATGACTGCATCGGGGAAATTGCTTCCACTTGTGTATATATGCCTGCAAGAATCTACAAATAAATTTGATCCTGTAATATCCAAAACGGTTGATAAATTGACTACAGAATTTGGTAATGTTGTTGTTACTTGTTCCAAATCAGGAAAATTAACTAAAGAATTATATAAAAACTATTTAGAAACAACGTTAAAATCATATGTGAAAAATGACAAATTCCTTTTAATAATTGATTCGTGGGGAGAACAAACTGATGTTGCTTTACATGATGAAATCTTTTGGAATGATGATGGAGATGCAACATGCACTCTGAAAATAATTCCTGCGAAATGCACCTCGTTTTGTCAACCATGCGACGTCTATTTTTATCGACAAGTCAAACTTCTAATAAGACGATTGCAAAATGCTTCACTATTAATGAAAGAAGAAAGAGAAATAGTATCTCGTGAGGATGCTATTAAAATTCATTCTATAGTGCACCATCAGTTGAGCGCTCCTTCTTTCGAAAACATGATTAAATATGCTTGGTACGCTGCAAAATTATTGGAAGAAAGACCATTTTTTTCAAATGTTAACGATATTTGCTTCCCACCAACAATTGCAAAGCAGAAGTGTCCCTGTACCGAGATTTCTTTTATAAAATGTGCCTGGTGCGCTATATGCTTTTGTTTTAAATGTTTTTATGATATGTATCATCCAAACAAATGTTTTGGATATAAAGACGGTAACGATGCCGATGATGAAGATGTAATGTAACATGTACACGCACATTCTTTTGTATTTCTATTTTTATGTGTCTTTGTATGTCTTTATGTATCTTATGTATATAAAAAACATAATATGAATAATATAATATGAATATAATACCCTGCTTAATACTACTGTTCTTTCAACTGCACCTTTATATAATTATTATAACAACTTAATATATTTTTACTCCTATTTCCATTGCAATTATTATATAAAAATTTTCTCTATACACTATATATTTTATAGATAAGATTTACGGTTCTTTTGCAATTTAAATCATTAATAATATATTTACACTTTATATTTATTACAAATACTTTATATTTAACAAACACTGATATATTTATAAGAAACGCAGTTTTATTATTTATTAATGTTTTCTGTTTCATTTTTTTGCTTACAGAATAAAAAAAAAACAACAGGGATCGGACCCGAGCCGTCAGCTCGGTAGTCCGTTACCTTCGCTGCTCCGCTATGCCGTTTCATTGAACACTCTTCTTACTAACTTGTACGCTTTGTTGGCTCTTTTCTTTAGACCGTTTTTTCTCGGAAACGAAGAGGCATTGCATCGAATGCTATTACCATGAGTTACTAGTAGTCAAGTACTATTAACTCCGTAAGTTTCGTTCCAAACCGTTTCCCGGTTGACGCGTCCTCCCCTTGTAAGATACAAGCGAGCCAAATACTTTTATGTTAATATTATAAATAGTATACAAATTTACAAATTTTATACTAAATACATAAATATAATACACAACCTAAATTTTGTGTGCTACATAACGGTATGTTAGTGATTATATTTATATAATACGGACGTGACAGATTATCCACAGATTAGATTGCAAATAAGAAAAAATCAACTTCGTTTTTAAGAATTAAAGAAAGCAAACATAGAACGAACTAATAACAACAAAATTACTGACTGTTTGTTTCTTGTTTTATTTATCCGCAGTTCTACTATCACATATGAAGTCCCAACAATAAAAATATGTTTATAACATTGTAACATTGCAGATAGATTATGCGTTATGGTATGTACATTATTTATAAATATTTTTATAAAAATACGGATTTCGAGATATTGCATTGAGTTTGCTATTTTATCAACTATCATTAGATAACTCTCTCGTCATCTCTTTCGATGAAATTTTCTCAATATCGACTCACAGTGATTATTATTTATTATTTGTATTATATGATACGAGAGCCATGGTAATTTAACCAACGTTTCTCTCAATGTATTTATATACTCGCAACAATTCAAAATAACGTATTTGTAAGTCGGCATTCTTTTTGCCAGAGAAAGGCGAAAAAATAAATTCTGTAACATGCTACATGTGAATAAGAAAGACGAAAATATTAACGGAGATATACTTGTACGATCACGGAACAATTTTGCATCCGGTTGATCGTTTGAATTCGCAAAGAAAGTCGCGTTGCTCTCGCAAGAGAAAGAGAGGGAGAGAGAGAGAGAGAGAGAGAGAGAGAGAGAGAGAGAGAGAGAGAGAGAGAGGGAGAGAGAGAGAGGGAGAAAGAGAGAGAGCTATCTGTAATGTCTCCTTAGAAGATTGTCGCAAAATAAATCAGCCAACGCAAACAAGCTTTTTTGAAAAAATATCTTTTAATAGTTCCAACTTTTTAGGTCCTGGCCTGCTAATCGGTATAAATTCGACTTGTGAATCACGAGAACGTTCAAGTCTCGTGGAACGTTCAAGTACATCTTTTTTATACTCTTATTCGAAATTTAGAACTTTTGTAGAACGTAGTAGTAAGAATCAGAGTCGCACTGAATACATTCCAAATATAATGCGTATTGTTGTGAGAATACATATAAAAAAGGAGGCACAAAAGTACTGCGTATCTTTGGAAAACTTATTCTCGACGGCTTAAGAGAACTCGGATTCATTCCGCGTAATTATGTATTTCATCAGACGAGAGGATCAATAATAATATTAATTACAAACGTATATGTATGTAGCCTCGATATTCGAAACTCTACGAGTCTACGATGAGGAATCACAATTGTCGTCGAAGAGTGGTTACTTTGTGCTACTTAAGAGAGATTACTTATCGATAAAAAAAAATGCATTCTACTATATAAATAAAATCGAAATCCTTTCATCTGAATCTGACACAATTTTCATTCCTGTACGATTAACGTAACAATGTTTTTTTTTTTAATCCTTTATAAACACTGTATATAAATAATAACTATGATTTAATTAATATCCTACAACTTAACGGGGATACTACGCGCAAATATCTACAGTATGTATAAACACCATTATTGTATTGTACACTGTGCTGTTCGCGCGGCGTCTGGATCCGGTAAAAGTCTTTGAAGACGAGAACCGGGAACACGTTTTAACCTCGCGTTCCACTCACCTCTTTCGCCCCGGGCCATACAATACAATACAAAATGGCAGTAGTTGTAATAAAAAGTGACGTAACAGACAAGGATGAATAATGAGGATTTTTAATCCTAATACTGCTGCCAAGTTTGTCAAACACGAAATCTAACTTGAAGATAAGCAACGGAAAAAGCACTAAGACAGATGACGTTTCTCATTTAACGTGTATAAGCTTAGCGGCTATATAAATACACACATACAACACGCGCGCGCATGTATGTGTATATATGTACACACATATGCGCGCGCATACACACATACACATCTCATTTTACAAACATACAGTGCAAAGACCGATGTGCTATTTTAGCATGGAAGACCCAGATTGGTACAAATTTTCGTTGAATCAACCGCCGATAGAGTGCTCATTGTCCAAATTAGATTTTGTATTTATCGGAGTGTATGTTCCGTCGGAGGCAAATTTTGCGCATGTATAACACCGCATACTACGAGAGTCTCTCGAGTTTAATATTACGCTCTAGAAAGATTCGATTTGGAAATTGTACGGATCATTCTCGAGAATCGAAAAACAACGTTAGCGAGAAGCATGTTGAAATGTCATTTTTGATCTTCTTTTGAGATCGTGATCACTCCCGTGATTGACTTCCCGTTTGTCATGATAACATTTCCAGCACGAATTTAGAAATTCGTTAATCTACAGGCAATGATTTGCATTTCCTGTTTCGAGAAATATATTTAACCTTCGCCATTGTTTCTCTAATATATTTCAGCTCTTAAAGTCAGATTTTCTAGTTTTGCGTAATATTATTACATATATATAAAATCGATATAAATTATAAAATATAAGAAACAACGCGAAAACCAAAGCTTTTTTTTCTTCTTCTAACGAAAGCTCGGTTTTGAGTATATGTCCCTTTTAGGACATGGCAATATATTTGCCCTTTTCTTTCTTTCGTTCGTCTTTATCGTTCGCTCTGTTGCTTTCTCTCCCTCTCTCTCTCTCTCTCTCTCTCTCGTTACACACACAAGCATACAAATTGTCTCTAACATGAGACACATGTGCTATACTACTACAGCAATTGGTATGTAACTTTTGCAATAAAATACAAAAGTATAAAGACTTACACAATAGACTACAATTATCGGAAATTTTGCATCTCCTTGATAAAAAGAGAAAAAAGAAGAAAATTCCGAGATTAATTCTTACTTCTTCTTAATTGTAACTCGTTCGTTCCGAATGGCTAAATAACATGGAGGGAATGAATGTATACAGGCAGAGATGGCCAGGTGGACTCGATCGTCGCATCATCAGTGTTAATCTCCTTACTGATCTTATCGGTAAAACGTGTTGTTACTGTTGTTGTCAATGTTGAGTCTCGTTAACGACGGTTACACTCTCCATCTCCCTTCTCTCGTTCTTCTCGTCATCCTTATCAGGATTGTCCCACTTCTGCCTCTGGCCAGAGCTGAAGACTACATAGAACGTCGCACACACGACGTAAACGCCAGCGCAGATCATAAACACGGTCCTCCATTTCGCTTGTGTTGGCTGAAACAGTAGGATAAGGACATGTGCGAATCTCACCGTTTGTTACCAACTGAAATTGTATCGATCGGTCGAGGAGGAATCTTCTGTCATTACGAGAGAGCTAATAAATCTCAATTACCGTTCCCGTGATGATATATCCAGCTGTGATAGGCGCGAGCAGACCGGCCAGATTAGCCAGACAATTCGTGAAGGACATTAAAACTCCGGCGAACCTCGGCGAGATGTCGAGATGATTGACTTTAAAGCCGGAATATATACCGCCGTTCAGGCCGACTCCGATCGTCAAAAGGGCTACTGTCAACCAGCGACTGCATCCGGTATATGAGGCGGCTGCCAATGCCACGGCCGGCGAATACTGGCCGATGCTGTTGATGATCTTGCGAGTGGAGGTATGATTGAATCTACCCGACGAAATCATCCAGTCGGCGATATGAGAGATTACCATAGAAAAGATCCACATGGCCAAGTACGGTAGCGACGAAACTGAGCCATTCTGAAATACAAGTGATGAGAATGATGTGTGTGCACGCGCGCGATTGATTTCCATTGATTGAGACCAAGATACAAAAGAAATCATCGAATGGCACTCGTAAGAAGTACATAAACATCATCATCGCTCACCGATTTGATGTCAAAGTGAAGAATCTGCTTCATGTAGGTCGGAAGCTCGGTCATCAGGGTTTCGTATCCATAATTGTGACCCATGTGCGCTATCAAGATAGCCCAGAACGGCAGCGAAGTTACGATAGACTTCCACGGGACCGGCGGCGACTGAGAAAGAGAAGAGAAACATCGGGGGGTCGGTTCGTTTAGCAACGCCATTAGGCTGAGATAGGAGAGGCAAACGTTCTCGCTCGACGAGTGATGAACTTACAGATGCGCCGGCGCTGCCCCACAGGGCGCTCACTATATACTTCTTCTCGTCTTCTGCGATGTGCGGATCCTTCTCGGGGTCCTCGTGGACGAACATGAGGAAGAATATGCACCAGAGAGTGCCGACAGTACCAAAGACGTAGAATATTGATGGCCAGCCGCCTGCGAATCCGTACTCGGATAGCACCCCGCTCAGAGGCATGGAGATTATCGTGCCGAACTGCGCGCCTATAGACGTGACGGGAGAAACGGCAGAAAGGAGGAGGATTAGTGATCGTCATCGGAGCGCCGGGTTTCCCCGGCGACTTTACCCTCTTGCTTTATATCTTTTCCTTTTTACCAACGAAACAAAAACCTAGTGAGAGTGTGATTAACAGAACAGAAGGTGACTCGATAAATTCGAAAAGGTCCGGTCCACCGTCCAAATCCACGGTCGCAGCAAGAAGCGCACAACGGTGTGACTCGATGCATCGTGAAACGATCCAGAAGTGGAGGACTCTCTCTCTCTCTCTCTCTCTCTCTCTCTCTCTCTCTCTCTCTCTCTCTCTCTCTCTCACACACACACACACACACGCGGCAACGTTCTCTCGACTCGACACACACACACACGCGCGACACAGATGCTACTACAAAAAGGAAGGAAGGATCGCATTGAACGAGCTTACCGGCATAGACGAAGGCACCCATCCTACTGCGTTCGTTAGGTGGTATCCACTTGGCCAGCATTGCGTGCGTGCAAGGCACAATAGGACCCTGCAATAGGGATAATCCATTCCTAGGGGGAGGGAAATACACCCATACAATCAAAAAGCGTTCACACACAACGGATCAGTAATCCTTTAAAATTAATACTAACGCTATACGCTATCAACTACCTTAAACTTATCGATTAACCGATTAATCGCGCACCTCCTCTCCTGCGCTTGTAATTTAATCGTGCAATTTTCCGACTGGGTCGTGACAGAGGCATAATATGTAAATTTGGAAGGGCGACAAGCCAAGAAAATCTGAAGCAAATCTAAATATGTATGTGTGTCTGTACCTTGTCGGATCCTTCCTCCAATATCAATGTGTATCACCTTGATACTTACGAGGGAATGAGCGGAACGCACACTTGTTCGCGCAAGTTGCACGGATATGTATATTTGGATAATAGAGATAACCCCGATCCCGAAACACATCATCTCACACACACAACTTCCCGTCTCTCGGTCAATCCGATTATCTACCAGTCTCAATCAGACTATGTCGTGTTACCAAAAGTAATAAGAGATCCGTGATGTCACTTACCTCTCCCAGACCCTGGATGAAGCGTACGACGATCAGCCAGAAGTAGCCAAAGTGCGCGGACGCAGGTACCAGCAGCCCGAACAGCGAGTTGATCAGCATGCCGATCCCGAGGAAGTACTTGGAGCCGTAGCGCTTCGCGAGTATACCGAACGGTATCTGCGTGATTACGTAGCCGTAGAAGAAGGCGCTCAAGAGGTAGCCTTGTTCCTTGCTGCACCACGAGAACTCGCCGTCGCTGCTCTGTAGCGGCAAACACGAGAAGACTTCCACGTCAGCTTCAACTTCAACCTCGACTTGCTCTCTTGCGGCTCTCTTTCGCGGCCAGACGTTTCAGACATGGCGACATTTCTCACGCCTCTGATACTCACGTTTTTAACAGTCGCGTTCTCGGGGACGATGTACTCCGGGCACTCGTTCGTCACTTCCTCGTGCTTGTCGATGCACGCCGTGTGGTTGACCATCGCGACGATAGCCACGGACATGTTGGTCCTCATTACGTAAGCGTTGGCCATACCGAGAAACAGCATAAAAGTCACAAAGTGACGTCTCCCAAAGAGACCTGAAAGAAGCGAAAGAACGAAACGTCAGTCGTTTCTCATGTTGTGCGAAACTGCGTAATTTAAGATGTCGAGCTGGAGTCGAATCCTTTGCGCGCCGATAAACTCCGATTCGAACGGGGGGGGGGGGGGGGAAATGATCGCTCTTAGAACGTTATCTTCATCTATCAGTGCGATGAGTCAGATTGCCGAGAGACATCATCATCCTGTACAGAATTTCGTGCAACGTTGCACTGGCTCGAAATACCGCGTAGATGCTGCTCTTAAATTGCTATAATCGAAGAACGTGGCCACCACAGCTGTGGCGTCTTTAATTGGCGTTCCTCTCCCCCCCCCCCTCAAGTACTCTCGGCCGAGAGAACGTATCCCGTATCAGTTCTCATCGTGGGTATCAGCAGGTACTCTGCCAAATTTTCACGCAAATAACCGAAGGACGAGTGGCGGGACCAATGCCGAGGTGAGGGTTACGCCACGAGAGATGCGACGCGGAGGGTTAACTGAGTCGCGAATTACCAAGAAAAACGTCGCGAGCTAACAGCCATCGCAGGATGTGCTGCGAAAAGGTACCACCTGAAGGTCGCCAAGAATCGCTCCAACGTTCACTGAGTAATTTTTTATCCGTGGCATCTCTCGATCTCGAGATAAATGTTACACATCTATAAACCGAAATGATTCCCCCTTTAATGACCTTTTTGATGCCGACGTTGATCGCATTAACTGACTGATTTAAACTCTCGACGGCAAGAAACAGCCAAATCATTCCGTGCCTCGGGGATACAGGAATTAAAGAGAGGACACACCTCCAAAGACGCGATACTTAATCCTTCTATATTTAAGCCGCGCGAAGACATCTGCCGCCCGTCACTGCAAGAGAGGTGTCGTATTAATCGCACATCTAACTTTGAGAAATTCGTCACGGCCGCTTTTTCAATGGAAACAATCGCGCGCGCGCGAGAGAGAGAGAGAGAGAGAGAGAGAGAGAGAGTGAGTCAGTGGTTCGTAATCGGTCGCGTGTGGAGCACGTAACGGCGTCGCGTAATGCTTGGTCGCGTTCATCGATGACAATTATCAGGAATTCGTCTGGACTCGAGCGCTATACAAAAGACGACGTGATAACGGCGATCTCGCGCGTTCGCCAAGTCAGTGCTATAAATAGAGGGAATCTGCAGGAGTCTACTAATCATTTGCGCGCGTCGCGAGAAGGAATACACGGTCTCAGGCGAGACGGAAGGAAAATGGAGAAGTTGAGACGTTGAGAGGTCGTCAAAGAAACGCGTCTCGCAAAAAATTCTCTCTTCTTTCTTTCTTTCTTTCTTTCTTCCCTCCAGCAATTCCATGTCAGCAATTGCCCGGCCGGAAAGGGCTCGGCAAGTTTGCGCGCTGATAATTTGCGTCTTATGCGCGTTACCGCGTAAAATCGCGCGTCGCGCGCGCTTTGAAGCTTTAAGCTCGAACATAATGCCTCCGTTTATTTTTACGAGCACGCGCGCTCGGGAGTGCGCGATCAACGTGCAATTTGCCGAGGCTCTCGTGTCTAAATCTCTGAACATTCTGCCCTTAAAGGAAACATTAATTTTAAATCGAGAAAAATATCAGTGAGCAATATACAGACGTGTGTCGCAGTATCGGAACGCGCTCGCTTGAACGAGGCAGCTGATTGATATTTGAATGAATCAAAAGTCAACCGTATTATCTAATCAATTGTTCGTTAAAATGTCCATAATCTAAATATAGTCGAGCGACAAATCGGCGATTGCGACGAAGCGCCGCGCCGGTGCGAGGCGCAAATTCCTTCTCCTCTCGCTTCAAAGGGACTGATTCACAGCACCGCAGTGACATTTGCTATAGTTTGACAGTCTAACACATGAGTCACCTGACACACACGTACACAGCGTACGTCAATCCGACACAATGTATAATAATGCGAACTTTGCACAGAGTTTCGTCGACGACTCGAAGAATTTCCTCGCTATTCTACGACGCGCGATCGCGCGAGGAAAATTAACAACGTCTTGAAAAATCTGGCGGTTAATTTTTGCGCACGTGGCTTTCTTTCTCACAGAAGCGCATGAAGTTATATGTTAACAATTGTTAAAACACGTGTGCATACGTTGAAAGAAATTCGGCGAAATTTCTTACATTCTCGACAATTTGAAGAAAATCCTCGATATACGCTTCGACAGGGAAACCGATCGAAAATCCTGCTGGTGTGATCCTTAGCGTAATATCCTTAGCGGTATTTCGAATCTCAACATTTATGTAGTATTGACATATTTGGCCGTATAGTTGCCGCAGGCAACTATTTCCCGTGTTCCGTGCACGACACAACGTTTACATTATCAGAGCTTTGTATCACATTGGTAATTCAAAGCGATTACGTCACACAGAACAAGTGGCTCCTTCTTTTTCCTCTTTCTCGCTGATCTCCCTCGATCGATGTTACAAAACTCCTCGCGACCGATTGCGCTCCTCTTATCACGTTTAGATTAGCTTCTCTCAATCGTCGCTGACGTGCGTACGTGTGAGAGAGAGACACACACACACAGAGAGAGAGAGAGAGAGAGAGAGAGAGAGAGAGAGAGAGGCAAGCAGGGAGGGGGGACGAAAGAGCGAATAAAGAGCAAACAGAGGGGGAAAAAAATAAGATACGAGAGTCAGACGAGCCGAGAGGCGCTCGATCCGATTCAATTAGTACGAGTATTTTCCAGGAATAAATTTCGACGCCCACGTCCTTGATTGGACTCAGCCCATTATTAATGACGTCTCCGAATCGGTCAATTGACATCGAACGATACGCTCATTCGCAGCCAACTCAACCGGTGTGCTCAATCGCATCTATGCGCATATTATTCAGACCCGTCTCAGACACTCTCCCATCCCTCTCAAAAATCGCACGTGCATCAGATTCCACTTTGGTGGAAGACCATCTCTCGCCGACTTCGCACAGCGCTTGAAAATTGAAAAGTTTTACAATGTTCGTTACTTCGAATCAATATTAGACATCGACGCGAGGAAGCTTCGCAGTAGGCAAACAAGTCAACGAGATTCGCCTCGAGCGAAAGTCTGTCTGCGAGTCGGACTGTCGGTAATTTATTTCGGGAAATTCGAGCGCGATGGTAGACAATAAATAAATAATCAGGATACGATAGCCGGAGGACCAGTCCGAGACCCAAAGGCGAATCACTGATAGGTGACCGCCGAGTGACCAGAGCGAGGCATGTTGCCTGATAAGTGAGAACGAAGGCCAAGCCGTGAGTTTACTGGCCGAGATCCAGTCGCGTTTTATCCGTGACTGCACCGCCGAATGCACTCGGCGCCTGTTGCGCATTTCGCAAGCGCGTTCCCGAGCGGAGTCGCATACTCTGTACCCAGAGTATGAGTCGCTTCAAAATCAACAACCGGGAGTCGAACGAAAGGGGGAGGAGAGACTCCGAGGGCGAAGCGAAGGAAGACACGCGGTTCCGCGCGAAAGAAGAGACGCGCGCGTTCGCGAATAAAAATGACAATGGACGCGACATTTCTTTCTCTCTCTCTCTCTCTCTCGCAGGCGAGAGATTCCGGCAAATCTCCGCGCGAGACCCTCGATTTTATGCACGGCGATAAGCGCGCGTAGATAATTCTCGCTGGCGAGCCATCTGTGCCGCAATTATCGCTGTTGCGCGTACTTTGTCGCTTTCCTCCTCTTCCATTTTTTTTCTTTACTTCTCTTCTGCGGCTGCTCGCGAAACGATAATTCGCCGATAAAGTCGGCACGGCCGTTATCTAAGCGTTATGCAACGTGCGCTACCTTGAGTAATCGTCGCGTATGTGTTTCTGTGAATGGAAGAAATATGCGCAAGCTGAAGCGCGAAATCCCGGAGAGACGCGCGGAATTATATAATTTACAGGAGGCTGCGTATAAATTGGTCGATGTAAATTAACTGCGACCTACGTACAATTTCGCACACGCACGCGCGCGCGCGCACGCATACACGCACGCACGCACGCACGCACGCACACGAACAAGAATTCTATTCTTGATCTTCGGTGCGATCTAAGAATTCTGTGTGATACCGCGCTCGCTCGCGAGAGACATTCGAGGAACGTCCGACGACGCGCCGACGCTGCAATTTCCCATGGCGCCGCATGGCGAGCCGCGATAATCGAACTGTGTACGTAACGAGAACGAGACGGGTCACACGCATTATTCGATATTATTAGGTCCGTCGTGAGAGATCTATTTTGGCGCGCAACCCAACTCTCTGATATGTCATTTTCATATTAAGACGCGCGTCGCGTCGGCACTTAAGTTTCTGCATAACTAGCCTAACGCGCGCGCACCTCGACGATGACGATAATGCACTCGGGAACGTGCAGTGTCAGCTCGCGGGCACTCGCGAGTCGAATACAAAAAGTCATCACGCGACAGTCCCCCCCCCCGCCCCGCGCGAGCGGTATTCATCGCCGAGATAATCCGAACAAGAGCCGTTAAAAGGAAAATGCTCGAGTCGTGTTTAGACGGAACTCTGCGTATTATTCGACGCGGCGAATCGATTTTCTGATCTGCGCTCGAGTCGCCTGGCAACGATATTATCGATGAAAAAGGGAAGACAAAAAAACAAGAAAAGAAAAAAAAAAGAAAGGAAAAGAAAATCTGGATTATCACCCACAATAGGAGAATTTGATAAATGTTTGATAAGTGTCGGGGTATCGCGAGAGACGAGATGATGCAGAAAGAAACGCGATACTGATAACGATTTCTTATCTGATATGTTTGATACTTTTCTCATAATCTGCCGTGGTGACACGTCGATTATGACGCGGCAAGTTGAATCGTATTTTAATTTGCACGAGAGCTTTGGAAAGTCGTCGTCGACGACGATATTCCACGTTCGGCCGTAACGAAGCGTCTTTCCGATTGCCTCGCTCGCGAGCGCAATTTCGCAGCAGAATGCTCCTTATCCGGGACTAATGACGAGGCCGAGAGAAAACAATCGCGAGGATTAGCGTCCGTCAATCGGTC